TTTCACCTACAAAGAAAGAGGCAAATCATTGGTAAATTATAATAATACTTAGTAGTCTGAAAAGCAAGATTACCAAAATTGTAATCCTTAAGAGCAATTTCAATATTTAGTTTCTCTATTTGGAATATCAGAATGTGGTTGCAGTCATCAAGTTTGACCCCCACAGTAAAACGATGCCTCAATACAGAATTTTCTGCCACACAACAAGTTATTCCAGTACAGTAGTCAGGTATGTTACATTTGACTGTAGATGGTAAGGCTGGCAAGTTAGATGTCAGGCCTGACTTGCACTCTGAAACAAAAAAGAGACTCATTGGCCACATTGCTCACCAGAGTAAGTTTGACCATGTTGTTCTTGACCCGATTTTCCCCTTTTTAAATCCTATTGTGACTCCATATATTCCCCAAGGGGTCATGATTAGGACGATTTAGAATCTACACTAGCCCAAGGTGCTTCCACAAAAGTTTCAGCTTTTCTTGCAGAGTAGTTCTTAAGAAGATTTTAAAGATTTTCATACATATTTAATATTTGATTTTTTTTGATTATGTTAAACCTGGATTCCCTATTGCAACCCCCATTACCCCAGCGGGTCATGAATTAAACAATTTAGAATCTATACTATCCCAGTATGCTTCCACATAATTAAATTTCAGCATTTCTGGGTCACTGATTCTTGAGAAGTTTTTAAAAGATATTTCCTATAGTATATATTTCAATAATATTTAACTTGATTTTCATATTATGGCTATGTCCTACTCCTGGGGATCATAAATTGAACAATTTAGAATTTACATTTCCCCAGGATACTTCTACATGAGTTTCAGATTTTCTGAGTCAGTGGTTCTTGAGAAGATTTCAAAGTGTACCTATATATTTAAATGTAAAACCTGGATTCCCTATTGTGGCCTTGCATTATTCTCAGTGACCATGATTTGAACATTTTATAATGAACACTTCCCCAGGGTGCATTCATATAAGCTTTAACTTTTCTGACTTAGTGATTCTTCAGTAAAATTTCTTTGAAAGAGTTTTCCTACATATTTTCAGTGTAAACTTGAAATCCCTACCATGGTCCCGCCCTACCCCGAGTTCATGAATTGAACGATTTAGAACCTACACTACCTCCATGATGCTTCCATTATTTATATATTGAACTGACGACAGATTTTTCCATTATTTCCAGAACATGACAAGGAGCACACGGTGGGTGTGACTGGTCAGCAGGGGATGCTCACTCCTCCATAGCACCTGATCCCACCTCTGATGTTTCGGAGGTCCGTGTTTGCTCTGCTCTATTTTGTATTGTTTTATGGACTTTGATATTGAATGCTGTTCGTTATCTCCATATCTTTCTTTCACTTAAGTTTCAGCTTTTCTGGCTAAGTAGTTCTTGAGAAGAATTTTTACTTTATATTTCATTGTAAAACTTGGATTCCCTATAGCGGCCCTGTCCTACATCTGAGGGTCATGAATTGAAGAATTTATAATTTACACAACCCCAGGATGCTTCCACATAAATTTCAACGTTTCTGGCTTAGTGGTTCTTAAGAAGATTTTTAATTACCCCATCTTATTTTGGTCTTTTCATGATTATCTCCCCTAGGAAGGAAGAAAAGCCCTTTATTTTTACATTTATATCAAACTAACCTTTACACAAGGATGTTTTTTTTTTACCAACTTCGGCTAAAATTGGCCTAATGGTTCTTGAGAAGATGAAATTGAGAAAAGTTTACAAAGGGAAGGACAACTAGAAAAAAAGTCGTTGCGAGCAACGAGAGGTCTTCCGTCCGATTCTGAAAAAACCCCCCGCAAAATCGAGCTGAAAAAGTTATGAAACTTTCATGGAAACAAAGGGGATTGAACCCGGGTCGCCAGCATGAAAATCCAAAGCGCTTACTATTACGCTATTGGGACCACAGCTCTTCTAAATCTACTTTTATATACTTCTGAAACAGTACATCTGTCTTAGAATAATGAAAGGCGGTCACTATTAATAATTTTGCACCAAACGCCACAAGTAAATCTTCGCGCCTTTTCTTTGGAATGTCCAATTAAATAGGTGTGATAGCTTCAATGGAAATAAAACAGAACGTTCTGATAGCTAAAATTTCAAGGTAAAGAAATTGTTTTCAACACATTTACAAATTCTATGCATAAATGGATAAGTAACATCAAATCAGCGAAACTGCTATAATTTTTTTACTTTTAAAAATTTTCTGTTTATCCCCATACTGAACTGTCCCTTTTAGTTAAACTTTCATGAAAAGTTTGAAATGTTTCGCCGAAAAACATGTGTCGCCCTAAGACGGCCAAGGAATCAGATACCATTTATGTTCAATAACTTAAATCTATCTTTGAGACAAGAATATTAATATAAACTCAATTCTTCTAAAAAATAGTTTTACTATGTTTGTCTTTCCTATTAGTTTAATATGACTCAAGTGTGCATGAGCAAAACAGTGGATACGTTCAATACTTACTATATACATCGATATTGTTTCTTAAAACTATTATTTGTATCTATGATTTAAGATCTGTTTTTTCCACAAAACAAATGATAGTAGGTATGTTTTTCATTTGCACATTTAATCTTTTCTTTTTCTTCTTTGAGAACCAGCCAAAACCAATTGTAGAAGACGTTTGAGACGACCATCGATTTAAACTTAGATTGACACAGAATTGCAATGTAACTAAATCGTGATAATCCCAGTATTCCTTTACATTTCATTTATCCTTATTTACTTTCGTTCAAGCAAACGCTTGGTTGCCTCTGAAAACCCCTATTGCGAAATGTCGGAGTTGACATAGGCAGCAGCCATATTGGACCCGCTTCAGATTTTTAAATGTTAATATCTGGAGTTAGGATTTATGAATGTTCAAACAAATTATATATTTAGCATTATAAGAACGGTTTCTATTAACATTCCAAAAATAAATGAAAAATATTGAAAAACAAAAAAGTTAGAAAATACGGACTTTTTAAATTCGCTTCCGATAGCAACCGGAAGTACTAACGACACACGAAAAGGTGATTTCACATATTTAAAAGTCATCATCTATTATCTCTAAGAAGTCTCCAGTTAATATCTTAGACCATTTTCGTAAAAAAGGGGGGGACAAAAATCCATTTTAAAATCAGAAAAATGTCAATAACTTGGTACCGAAGGTGAGTATTCCAAATTTTCCTTCTGATGAACAAAGTTCATATAATGACACATAATTCCTGAAAGTTTCATAGAAAACCACCGAATAGTTTTCGAGATATCGCCTGCACAAAATTTTGGGAAAAAAAAAAATAATAACTAGAAACTCTTGTTGCTAGACCAACAAAAACGGTCTTCCGTTCTCCTCTATTTATCTGCATGAATGAGATTTTATGTGTTAAAAAAGGCATATAATTTAATAACATTTACAAAAATCATTTTCATTAATTCTTTCTTCTATGACGACTGGAAGTGACGTCGGACGCATCTTACCCTATATCTGTTGCCCAATCTTCATGGTTTGTTATTCATATAAGTTTAGTGTCTTGATCTGTTGCAGTTTAAGAGATCTCGTAATTTTAACTTCTCATTTTGAGGACAAGAAATCACGTGACCGGAAGTATTTTTTTGAAAAGATATTTGAGGTTACTCTAGACATTTCAGTCTGAATAACATGTCCTAAAATCATTTCTATTACTCTTTTTATAAAAGGGATCTATGGGATAGTATGAGATTAAATTTAGGCAGTTTTTCTCTCATAACCGGAAGTTGTCGTTACTGTTTCCAGTGGGACTGACATATTTCAAAACTATAAATAAGATGCTATAATGTATTACTAAGAAATATTCCATAAAGAAAAGTTGAAACTTTTGATTTATTTGATCACTTCCTGTTACAACCGGAAGTGACGGCGGACGATGTCAACCCAAATGGATTTGCCTTCTCATCAAGATCTACCATATCTATAAGTTCGGTGTCTTAATCTCTTACTGTTTACGAGATCTAGCTATGATTACTTCTCATTTTGAGGACAGGAAATCACGCGACCGGAAGTGAATTTTAAACAGATATTTGACGTTATTGTAGACATATACAGTCTGAATAACATATCCAAAAATCATAACAAATACTTTATCTATAAAAAATATTTATGGGAAAGAAAAATACTCAAATGATGTAGTTTTTCTCTTATAACCGGAAGTTTTTGATTCTGGTGGGACTGATATATTTTAAAACTACAAAGAAGATACTATAATGTGATGCAAAAAAAGTTTCATAAAAAAAATTGGAAATTTTCGATTTCTTTATTCACTTCTTGTGACGATCGGAAGTGACGGCGGAAGATCTTATCCCTGATGGTTTTGCCTACTCATGAAGATCTACCATTCCTATAAGTTTGGTGTCTTAATCTCTTACCGTTTACGAGATCTAGTTATGGTAACTTCTCATTCTGAGGACAGGAAATCACGCGACCGGAAGTGAATTTTACAAAGATATTTAACTTTACTGTAGACATTCGCAGTTTGAATATCATATCCAAAATTCATTTCAAATACTTTATCTATAAAAAATATTTATGGAAAAGAATAATACTGAAATTATGCAGTTTTTCTCTTATAACCGGAAGTTGTCGTTTTTGTTTCCGTGGGGACTGATATATTTTAAAACTACAAATACGATACTATAATGTGATGAAAACAACGTTTCATGAAAGAAAAGTTGAAATTTTTGATTTTTTGATCACTTCCTGTGACGACCGGAAGTGACGGCGGACGATCTTATCCCTAATTTTTTTGTTAACACATCAAGATCTACCACTCCTGTAAGTTTGGTGTCTTAATCTCTTACCGTTTACGAGATCTAGCTATGATAACTTCTCATTTTGAGGACAGGAATTCACGCGATCGGAAGTGAATTTTACGAAGATATTTGACGTTACTGTAGACATTTGCAGTCTGAATAACATATCCAAAAATCATTACAAATACTTTATCTATAAAAAATATTTATGGGAAAGAAAAATACTGAAAACATGCAGTTTTTCTCTTATAACCGGAAGTTGTCGTTTTTGTTTCCGGCAGGACTTACATATTTCGAAACTGCAAATAAGATGCTATTATGTGATGCAAAAAAAATTTCAATAAAGAAAAGTTGAAATTTTCGATTTCTTGGATCACTTCCTGTGACGACCGGAAGTGACGGCGGACGATCTTAACCTAAATGGGCTCGCCTACTTATCAAGATCTATTACTCATATAAGTTTGGTGTCTTAATCTCTTACCGTTTCTGAGATATGACTCGGATAAAATCTTTCTGAAAAAAGCGGAAATCGGACATATCTGACGACCGGAAGTGAATTTTGAAAAAATGAAAAACGCCTGAGCGTATTTTGGTTCCTATCATCCCTGAAAATTTCATGAAAATCCGTCCAGCCATCTCTGAGAAATCCTACTGACCAGAAAAGGGGAAAAAAATAAAAAGAAACAGTAGAATCACTAGAAGGTCTTCCGTCTGAAACGGAAGACCTTAATAAGAAACAGTAGAATCACTAGAAGGTCTTCCGTGAAGACGGAAGACCTTAATTAATACTGATCAGGAAAGCTCACTTGAGATTTCAGCTCAGGTGAGCGAAAATGAATCATAAAACCGTTCAAAATGCCCAATTACCATTTATATAGTAAGCTAGGCAATAATAATAGATACTATATGCTAAAATTAGTTGACAGCGATTTAGCAGTTTACTAGAAGAAGCTCAAATCATTTAGAAGTTTGAGCTGACAGATGCAGAGCAAAAAAGAACAGGTGGTATGATGTCACTTACGAGATTTATGACCTAAACAACAACAAATGTCAGTTAGCAAAGAGATGATCAACAAACTTTGATCAGAAAGGCTTATATTGTTCAAGTGAGCAGAAACTCAAATGCTTGGTTTGAGTAGGCTTAAATTTTATGAACCTACCATTTTTCCATCCTTTATTGTTGGCATGGCTGTATGTTGTAGATGTAAAGGAACATGGGTTCTTGTTAAGGTATGACCTTATGCCCAGCATGTCCAAAAGCCTGTCCTTATTCAACTGTGACAGAATGGAACCCTCTGTTAGGGAAAGATCTCTGTACCACTCTGATAAACTGAAATCTGATAAAGTTATGCCAATAAATGTGTATTACTCAACTTTACTGTCGGTTTGATGCAAGCAAAATTGGTGTGATCCAACTTTCCAAGTCACCACACTCTGAATTCATAATAAACCTCTATCTGAATTAAACTGATGACGTAGCACAGAGTGCATGTCATTTCTTCTTGTGTATCAAATAGTTTCTTGAAGTTAATGTTTTAATTAATTGACAAGAGTTGTATATTTGATCCCAAAAATTTTTTAAGCTAATTTGTTAATTATAAAAGGTATGTCATCTCTATTATTATAACATTAATTTGACCTGAAGAGTTGTATCATTTGTCTCATTGACAGAAGTATCTCGACTGATCTGATGATCTGCAGCTGTCAATGAGATTTGATATGACTTTTTCAAGTTATTGTTGTAATAATATATATATATATATTTGCCTTTTTCATTAGCTTTTTCATGATTTAACAAGAGGCCTCTTGGTCATATCTCTCACCTGAGGACAAAAACTAGGGAGAAATTCAAATCAGCTCAGTATTTTAGAAGTTTACTATGGGGTGGACTTGAATTTCAAACCACTCAAGAATGCCACCATATCACTATAGCATACATTTATAACTTTGCTGTTCTTGAAAAGAAAATTGAATGAGATTTTTTCCGACATGTTACAATGCAAACTAAATTGAACAAACCTGAATCTATACACATTAGGATCACTTATCATGGATTTGCTGTTCTTCAGAAAACTTGTAAAGGTGTCTTAGTATATATTCCTATGTACAATTTAATCTCACACTGTGTCTCCATCCTACTCCCCAGAGTTCTGATTTGAACAACCTTGTATCTACATTACTCGAGGATGCTTCCATATAAATACTATAGATCACTTAATTTTCGCGAGACCTTATTTTCGCGAGACAGTTATTGACACTTTATAAGCGAGACAAACTTTTCACGAATTGTGGTCATTGCTCTATATAATCTTAAGGAACTCTATTATACGCGAGAATGAAATTTTCGCGAGCATACCGTCTCGCATATTACGCAAAAATAAAGTCCTCGCGAAAGAAAAGTGATTTACATTATTCAAATTATGGCCTTGTTGATTTAGAGAAGGTTTTTAAATATTTTTCCTACATATTTCTTATAAAATTTTGATTGCCCATTATGGCCCTACCCTACCTACAGTAGTAGTGAAATGAACAAATTTGACTTTACAGTATCTGAGAATGTGCTTAATATTCATATCACCTTTTGCTTTTCTTGGGAAGAAGATTCTTTAAAAAAGTTTTCATGTATATTCCAGTGTATTGGTAAATTTTGATCTTCCAATGTGGTCCCACCATATCTCTGGGGAATCATAAATTGAACAAACTTGAATCTTCACTACCTCAGGATGATTCCACATGAGATTTGTCTTGAAAATATGAAAATGTTTTAAAGATACCCATAATTTTTCACATATTCATAATTACCCGCGCTTTGAAGAGGGTGTGGCCCTTCAATTAACAAACTTGAATCCCTTTTACCAAAAGATACATTGTGGAAAGTTTGGTTGAAATTGGCCCAGTGGTTCTTGAGAAGAAGTTGAAAATGTTATAAGTTTAAGACAACGACAAAATACAAATCAGAAAAGCTCACTTGAGCCTAAATTCCGCTCAGGTGAGTTAAACAGGTTCAGAATGGTCTACTTTGAATCATGTGATAAATAACTTCATACTAGCTGTGGAAAATCCTTCTGTCCAGTCACAGATTTTCTTGGGTAGAAGTGTGTTCTTGAAGATGTCAATGTTAATGATACATTGATTGTCATCTGAGGCCTCAAAACATGCCTTCAAGCCCATGGATACTCTAAACTGTCTTTCAGTTGGCATATCTTCTATCTTGTAGCTATGTAAGAAATATTTTGAAACTCAGTAATCAATATATATATTTTTTCTCTTCATAGTAAGAATAAACATTTTTTTTTATTGATAATAGCCACACTATATGCATGTGTATGTATGAAACACTTACTCAATACGAATCACACTGTTTAAGTAAAATTTGTTCTCAGTGCCTGAAAACAAAAAAATACAAAGCTGCCCAAATTCTACCCATCTAATAAGTATATTGTACAGTTAGTTTGTAAAATAAAATAATACATTTGTGGTATATTTGAGTCCTGTTGTTAAGGTATCAAAGAATATCATACAAACCAAATAACATATCATCCAAGCTGATGTTAAACGACAATTTCTCAATTCCTACAAATATCCAGTAGTTACAAGCATCGACTGTGACATAAGTTTCAAAAGACCTCTGTAGAAAGTCAATGTCCATACAACAACTGACTGCAGTGCATGTGTCCTTAATGAGACAGGAAACAGAGTCTGTGATTGGACTGGTCAATACGTCCATCTGGCAATCTGTAAAGCAAAACAGATTGTCTAAATATTGAAATGTGCATGCCTGCATGCAAAGTCTATTGATGTTATTCTTTTAAAAAATCCGAACTAGTCTCTGGATATTTTTTTTCAAATTTTAATGCAACTCAGGAAAACCAAAGTTTAAATATATAGCCTGTTTATTTCAAACATTAAATATCTTAAAATGTATGATAATGTCAGATCTGCAAACATTACAAAATGAAACAGCTAAGGAAAGTGTCCTTGAAGTGTCCCTGGCTGGAGATTTTTTTACCATTTTATTTTTACTTTTAAATTATTCTAATAGATAACGTAAGCAAAGAAATAGATAGGCCTAATATACAGGCAAAAGCTGTAGGGGCTTTGGAATTCTTTTTGTAATATTGAAGACTAACAACAGACAGTTACACAATTTTGGATTTCAAATTTTTGATGGAGAAAACACAAGAGGCCCATGGGCCACATCGCTCACCTTAGAATCTTTTGTCATATTGTTCTTTACAAGATTTCCCCCTTCTAATACATATTGTGGCCCCGCCCTACCCCCGGGGGTCATGAATTGAACAATTTAGAATCTACACTACCCAAGGGTGCTTCCACATCAGTTTTAGCTTTTCTGGCCCAGTGGTTCTTGAGAAGATTTTCAAAGATTTTTCCTATAGATTTCTATGTAAAACATTGATGCCCCATTGTGGCCCCGCTCTACCCCCGGGGGTCATGATTTGAACAATTTAGAATCTACACTACCCCACAATGCTTCCACATGAGTTTCAGCTTTTCTGGCCCTGTGGTTCTTGAGAAGAAGATTTTCAAAGATTTTTTCAATATATTTCTATGTAAAACTTTGATTCCCCATTGTGGCCCCGCCCTACCCCCCGGGGTCATGATTTGAACAATTTAGAATCTACACTACCCCAGGGTGCTTCCACATCAGTTTCAGCTTTTCTGGCCCAGTGGTTCTTGAGAAGAAGATTTTCAAAGATTTTTCCTATATATTTCTATGTAAAACTTCCCCATTGTGGCCCCGCCCTTCCCTCGGGGGTCATGATTTGAACAATTTAGAATCTACACTACCCCAGGGTGCTTCCACATCAGTTACAGCTTTTCTGGCCCAGTGGTTCTTGAGAATAAGATTTTCAAAGATTTTTCCTATATATTTCTATGTAAAACGTTAATGCCCCATTGTGGCCCCGCCCTATCCCCGGGGGTCATGATTTGAACAATTTAGAATCTACACTACCCCAGGGTGCTTCCACATCAGTTACAGCTTTTCTGGCCCAGTGGTTCTTGAGAAGAAGATTTTGAAAGATTTTTCCCATATATTTCTATGTAAAACTTTGATTCCCCATTGTGGCCCCGCCCTACCCCTGGGGGTCAGGATTTGAACAATTTAGAATCCACACTACCCCAGGGTGCTTCCACATGAGTTTCAGCTTTTCTGGCCCTGTGGTTCTTGAGAAGAAGATTTTCAAAGATTTTTCCCATATATTTCTATGTAATACTTTGATTCCCCATTGTGGCCCCGCCCAACCCGCGGGGGTCATGATTTGACCAATTTAGAATTTACATTACCCGAGGGTGCTTCCACATAAGTTTCAGCCTTATTGGCCCAGTGGTTCTTGAGAAGAAGATTTTTTAATGACCCCACCCTATTTTTGTCTTTTCTTGATTATCTCCCCTGTGAGGGGACTTGGCCCTTCATTTTAACAATTTAAATTTTCCGTTACCCATGGATGCTTTGTACCAAGTGTGGTCAAAATTGGCCCAGTGGTTCTTGAGAAAAGGTCAAAAATGTGAAAAGTTTACAGACGGACGGACAGACAGACAGACAGACAGACAGACGGACAGACGGACAAAATGTGATCAGAAAAGCTCACTTGAGCCTTCGGCTCAGGTGAGCTAAAAAGGCTTATTTGAGACGCATCAATCAAAAGATATGCAATTACGAGTATACATACCTGATTTCCATCCATTTACATATGGACTGTATGCTGGACCGGCCCTCTGACAAGGTATTTCCTGGGTGTATTTGGCAATACCAAGCTCTTCCAACAACTTTGCAGCATTAAGGTTGGACAACTGAGAACCAATGCTTGCACCAATGTCATTGTACCAGTTTTTCAGTGAGAAGTCTGAACAAAAGTAAGCTGAGTTGTAATTTTCATGCACTTATAATCTTTAACGGGTTTATAAATAGGACAAATCTTAAATATCACTGGAAATTTGTGAATTGTTATGACCCCTCTTAACAACCAATATAATTTGGTTCTTCATAATTTATAAGTTTTCATTCTTATTATTTCAGAAGTTGCCATTTCGACTTTGATTGATTGATTGCATACTGTTTAACGTCCCTCCCCAGAATATTTCACTGATATGGAGACGTCACCATTGCCGGTGAATGGCCGCAAATTTAGGCCTATGCTCGGCATTTACGGCCTTTGAGCAGGGAGGCATCTTTATCGTGCCACACCTGCTGTGATACGGGGCCTCGGTTTATACGGTCTCATCTTAAGTACCGCCCCATTTAGTCGCCTTTTACGACAAGCAAGGGGGTACTGAAGACCTATTCTAACCTGGATCCCCACGGGGCATTTTGACTTTGAAGAATAGTTTAATAAATATTTGGGGGCTATTTTTATGCTTTATTTTTTCACAGTTTACTAGGGGACAGTTTTTATAAACTAGATAAGTGTACTTATTCTTTAGGTGCAATTTATGATATCATGCAATTTATTGTTCATCTATGTTGCAAACAAAAAGAATAGTTTTTAAATACCAACTCTAACTACTGTAAATGTTAATACTTTTGGATATTGTTAATTACAATAATTACAAGCAAAAATTCAGTGTGTTTTTTAGTTCTGCAAATATGTATTTTTTACATTGACAAAGTCTGCTTGCAAAAATTTCAGTATTATAAAAGATTATGTAATAAGCAACAGAAGATGTCAAAAGTTTGCTTTTTAATTCAATTTGATTATCTCACAAAAATAATGAGTCACGAAAATTTCCCGATTTACAGATGACATTGCTCTTAGAGCACAATGACTCAATTACAGCAAAATATTTTAAGGAGGAAATCATACTTTTGTTTACTTCAGAATACATACACTGTAACAAGAGGTCTGTGAGCCAATTCTCACCAATAATACCCCTGCACTGATGTGAATAATTATATACTCTCATGTGAATTTACAAGTTATGATGTTTCGGAAATTTTGTAAAGACAGCATTAATAAAGAGGCGGTTGTCTCCAGATAAGTACCAGTTGGTAAATACAAAAAAAAAAAAAAAAAAAAAAGAAAAATAAAGAATCCATATGGCATAAATGTCAAGCATCTACCTTTAGTAGTTTCTTGGAAATCTGTGACAAAATTTTGGTATACACAGTTTTACCAAAAACAAAGGGAGGTAAAATTTTAAGAATCTGCAATACCAAGTTGCTGAGAAAACTGTGACAAAAATGTGGTACAGAAAGATGGATATGGAGATAACGAACAGCATTTAATCTCAAAGTCCATTAAACAATATACAAAATAAGAGCAGAGCAAACACGGACCTCCGAAACATCAGAGGTGGGATCAGGTGTCATGGAGGAGTGAGTATCCCCTGCCGACCGGTCACACCCGCCGTGTGCTCGTTGTCATGATCAGGAAATAGCATAAAAAATCCGTCGTGAATTCAGTGTATAAATAATGGACTAACAATTGGTATGAAAAACGTCAGTCAGCATTTGACTCAATGATAAATTGTATTTGCTGACAAGGTCATTGTATCGACCATAGAACTTACGAAATGATGACTTTAAACGAGACTGTTTATATTCTTGTTTCATCAACTTGCTTGTCAGTAATTTACCTCGTTTAAGAAATTGTTTATACGTAGAGCATGCTCTTGCGTATCGAATCAACTGAGATATATATATACTCCGTATGCAGGTGATGAAGGTATATTGCTGCATAAGTAAGGGAAGTTGACGATAGAAAAGTTAAAGTCATCACGTTTATCATATAGCTTGGTTGTTAGATTACCATTTGTGTCTTTTTCAAGTAGAATATCCAAGTATGAAGCAGAAGTGTCGGACTCTGTGGTATCTTTTATCTCAAGCTCACCAGGATATATCGTATCGACGTAGGAATGGAAATTATCATTATTAATTGACAATACGTCGTCGATATACCTAAATGTCGAGTTGAAGGCCAAAGCAAGTATTTTTTTCTTTTCACGCATAAGATTTTGCATGCATAGATAAACAAGAATTTGATACTGTACTTGTACAAAAATGAATCCAACAATATGACATGCATGTAAACAGTGTCAAAATTTCAGGCATCTGCAATGGGTTGTTGCTGAAAAAACTGCAACAAAGATTTGTTACAAACAGAGAAACAGAAAGAATCTCAAGCTAGGGTATAACAGTAAATCTCTCCAAGAATCACAAGCCAAGGTATAACTGTAAATCTCTCCTTTAAGGGATATAAATATTGCCTTAATGAGATATATAACCTGAACTTACACATGTGTTATATTTGAACCTGTTGCTTTTTATACCCCCCGCTTGAAAAGCGGGAGGGTATATAGTAATCGTTAATTCCGTCCGTCTGTACGTCTGTCCGTCCGTCCGTCTGTCCGTCCGTCCTTCCGTCTGTCCGTCCGTCCGTCTGTTACGCTTTGGGGTACCCATCTCTTATCCGCAACTCCTCTTATACCACTGAGTGAAATTTGATGAAACTTTCACAGAATCTTTATTACATATTGCCCTTGTGCACCTCCTATTTTACTTTTTGATCTGACATATATTTTGGATTTTCCAGAGCAAAACATGGACACTGCCATTTTATTCATATGGGAGGCGGGGGGTATCATTTAGTGAGCTAATTGCTCACAGTACCTCTAGTTTGTTTTGTTTTTTACTTAGGGGGAATCAACAGTTGTAGAATGTAATATATTTGAAATACAGTACTTGAAGTGGCAAAACTTAGCTTTCCCACAGTAAAGCAAACCTGGTATGGTATAAGTTAAGTCCCAGCTACATCCTGGTTTAGGAATGACCACTTTGTCCAGTAACATAACATCGTAGACACAAGTATTTTCTTCCAGACAGATCTTTACTCGCATGGATAGTTTTAGAACTGTCTTATTTACTTCATCAATTTGGTACCTGAAGACAATAATTATTGTTTAGTTAATTATACGATAAAACATCTTCAAAGGATGTTTGCAAAATGGTTAAAATAATCTTATTAATAATATTTTTTCATCAAAGTATAGATTAAACATGAAATATAAAAGGGATTCCTTACAGAATATATACTAAATTTGCAAGTTTGAAGTAATCCTGGCTGCCTACAAGTGAAGAAGAGTAATATATCAGAATTGTTTGATTTAGTGATCATTATTTTCTTGATAGATTTATTATTGTATTTTAGAAAAAAAAACACCTCAGTTAATGAGAACAAGATTGTAAATTATTTTTTAATGTTATTATTTTTATCTTTTAATATTGTACATATTATCATCATTGCATTAACAAAGCTGTAAATTATTTTTTTAATGTAACCATTTTTTATTTTTTAATATTGTACATATTATCATCATTGCATTAACAAAGCTAAACATACCATAGGAGTAAGAGAAGAGTGTCCTCTCATATGCATAATTTTCTATTCCCACTTTAAGTGTCTGTAGACAAAGGTCAAGGTCAAGGAAGAAGTGAATCGTTTGTTGTAGAGGATCCTGTAGATCTAGACAGCATTCTATAGCGGTACACTGACTCTTTATGTGACAACTCAGGGGTAAACTATTTTTAATCTCTGCTAAATTCCCTATTGCAAATGGGCAGTCTGAAAAAAAAAATCAGATCAAATCAAATCTTTGAATGAAAGTTGGCAACAAACCTCTTTTTCTGTTAAATACTTATCTAAATCTGTGCTTATACATGCTACATATTCAACATTTTTGATTGACTCCTTTAAATAATTTTGTTACCTAGCTAGTTAAAACATGTTAAAACTTCAATAAAAATACCTATTTTCCATCCATCATGGTCTGGAGATTCAGCTTTGTAAGCAGATGAGATTCTGTTACATTGTTTTACTTTGGGCAACAAAAAGTTGGTTATTCCTAGCGCTTCTTTCAAGATGGAAAGTTGGGTTGCTGATAATACAGATCCAATGGAGAGAGATGTTTTCTTGTACCATTCACTTAAGGAAAACTCTGAAAAGGTAACGTGTTCAATTGATTATCAGGAACTAAAAGGTCACACATTAGGTGGATATCATTATATGTACGAGTACAGTGAAACCTTGTCCCATGTACTAGGACATAACTTTGTCAAAGTAGACAGTACTAGTGTTTCAGATCAGATATAGCACAGTATAAAGATAAGAAACCTATGTATCACATCACTCACCTAAGCACATGGGCAAGGTAATAACACAAATCAGCTTAGTATTGAAACGGTTACCGGATGTGGGTGAGTTTATAACTATTTGAGAAAGCCACTATTAAAGAAAATTAAAAAAAAATTCCTACACATCAACTTTGTAAAAAAAATTACCTCCCATTGTGGTCTCTCCCTCCCCCTTCCCACTGGGGCATGTTTTGAAAAATTGAATCTTTACTACATGCGGATACTTATATGTCAGTTTGACTTAGCATAATTTTTCTATTCTGGAGAGGATTTTTTTCCCCTAGGATACTTCTATTAGTTCCATATAAAAAAATCACTAATCATAGATTTGCTGTTCTCCAGAGAATTTTAAAGATATTATAGTATACTAGTATATTTTAGTATGTAAAAATTAATTCAACATTGAGTCCCCACCCTATCCCCATTCCCCATGAGTTTTGGTTTGAACAATCTGTACTCTACATTACCTGAAGATGCTTCCATATGAATATCACCAATAACATGGATTTAATTTTTTTTGTAATTTTAGATTTTTTTTCTACATATTTCTCTATAAATCTTTCATTGCCCATTATGGCCCCACTCTATCCACAGGAGGTCAAATGACAACTTATTTTACACTTCCTGAGGATGCTTCCATATGAATATCAGCGATCAAGGCTTTGCTGCTCTTGATAAGGTTTTTAATGTTGGTTCCTAAGTATTCCTATGTACAATTTTGATAATCTGTTGTGGCCCAACCCTACCCAAGGGGTCATGAATGATGAAAATTGAATATACACCCACTGAGGATGATTTCACATGAGTTTCATCTTTCCTGGCCCAGTGGTTCTTGAGAAGATTTTTGTAAAAGATGCCATTAATTTCTCACTAACTCATAATTATTTCCCCTCGGAAGAGCGTGTGACCCATCATTTAAACAACTTCAACCCCCTTCATCCATGGATACTTTGTCGCAAGTTTGGTTGAAACTGGCCAAATGGTTCTTGAAAAGTAAAATGTGTACGGTAATGACGACAAGATCGGACAAATTTTGATCAGAAAAGTTCACTTAGGCCGAGATGAACTAAAAATAGAAATTAATGAAATTGGAATGAAAGCAAAGGCCAGATTATACAGTGAAATAATTTGAACATATTCCATCACACAGACTTTAATGTTTTAATCTCAAAACTCGTGAATAACTAACCAGAATGGTCTAATGACCAGTTACACTCAAGTTTTGGAAGGTACAGATCTTTTGCAATGTCCTGCGAAAATACACATGGGTTGTTTTTCTCCAAACAGACTTCCACTTTCATGTTCACCAAGTACCTAGCATATCCAACAAGGTCCTCAACACTATATCTAAATGAAAAAAATACACATCATTAGGAACACCTGACTATCTCAACTGCATCATCAAATCAAAATGAACAATAAGAAAAACTTGATAATCAGTTTATTAAAAAAAAACCAAACCAATCAATACTGATTAAACAGAAATTTAAAATTGGAGATGTTTTTTCATTGTTTTCGTTGTCAACAATTCTCAACGAAATTAGATCCCACATTAACTTTGAACATGGACTTTATTTAACTAAATATAATAGGCAGAGTATACATTTACAAAATTTAATGCCCAGGAAACCCTTTCTTATGGCAAATCAACAAAATTTTAACCCAACAAAATGTGTGCTTTTACAGTAATATGCAGAATATTTTTTATTATTTTCATACTATTTTTCCAATATACATTGTTAAAATTAAATTCAATGGATTGTTTTATCATTAATAATTTTAAGAATTATATCATTACAAACATACTCAATCTTTATAATATTCTGCAGCCAAAACTGTCTCCTTGTTCCTGAAATAGATATCAGAACAATAATGAAATAATTGCAACTTAACAACAAGAAGTCCTTGGGCAATACAATCACCAACTTAATTGTAATTATGAAATTGTTTTTCTAGCCACAAAATGTTTCGTTTTTATCCTTTTATATAACTTCAGAACACTAATAAAACCTCCATGTTCAAGGGGAAACTCATACAAATTCTAATTTATACTTTATGTACATCTTTGGCATACCTGCAACCTAGCTTATTTGAGATGTTCAAATTCATGTAAACTGCAATATAAGGAATTAACCCACATTCTTCATTTTAAGGTTTTTATGTCTATCCCTCGATAACGAATTCTTTTAATATTAGTTTTTATGCAATTGGAGGAAAGTCAACTTAATAAGAGCTTTATAAAAATTTATTAAATTTATACTTTACCGAAAGTGTAGTTAAGAAGGCTAAATTTTCCTCTATACTGCTCAATTCCAATAACCAGTGTTTTGTTACATGTATCAAGGTCGAGATAAGTTTCAAAGTTTCTTCCTACTGACATAACATGTACACAACAGTGAATTTCTGTGCATCTAGAAGAGATAGAGCACAAAACTTGTAGACCTGCCAGGCTTGGTTTCTTGTACAGTTGTGATTTTGGACATTCTAAAATAAAAGTACAAATTTGAGTCCTAAAGGCACAAATGCTTAAAAGTTACATTCGCCATGCTTTTCTTCTCAAGAAATTTTAAAACCTCTTTATTCAAATATTATTATTTCCTAAATTACTTGAATTATAATATTATTATACAGATAATACAGATATGATTAATCATTGCCATCCTTGACTAGAGATGTATTTTTTTCTCATCATATTCCAAAGTAAATCTCTCATCCCCAATTGTGACCGCCCCCCAAGGCCATGACTTGAACAAACTTGAATCTGCATTACCTGTGAATCCTTACATTTTCACTGTTAATGTTCACCTACCATCAATCCATCTCTCGCTACTGCTGGCTTCAATGTTTATAGTGCACTGTGGTCTTTTCAAGTACCCAGCTATCCCTAGATGTTCCATCAGCTGATCTATCACGGTTGGCAGAAGATGTTCCGTTGATACACCGTAAGATTCTTTCCATTTATCTAGTGAAAAGTCTGCAAAGAAAAAATCAATTTTTTCAAGAAACAAGATTTGTGTGTAAAACAAAAATGCCAACAAGACATGTTTGTGAAACACGTATGCCCCCTCTTCCTTAATAATTTGATTTTTTTTAAGTCCAAGGGCATAACTCTGACTCATAAATATGTTCGCACCCGAACAGAACTTGAACTAGATATTCTTGTTATAAATCTGTACAACAAATTTCATTTCAGTATGTATAACTACTGTAAAGAAAATGAAAGGAAACTTAGTGGACCAACAGACTGATCAACCAACAGACAGCAGCAAAGCAATAAGCCCTCCCTTCGTCGAAGAGGAGCGTTAATACAAGTAAATATTATGCAGATCACATTGGCGATGTTAAACAGGAAATCCAAAACCACATCCATGTAAATTTGTTTTAAGGGTTTATAGTCTCTTAGAAGAGACATGCTCTAAAATACTAACTGTTCACTCATCTTGAAAATGTAGGCTACTTAAATCTAAAAACCCAAAGAAAGTTTGGTAGTGTACAACATAGCTGCATCATCTGCGAATGTTTAAACATGACAGTGTAAATACTAATCTACTATAAAAACATAAACAAGAGGCCCATGGGCCACATCGCTCACCTGAGCACTAAGGGTAGGAAAAAGTAGAAAATGGCTTTTTATTGTAAAGTTTAAATCCAAAAGTAGTCCCATGACCAATCATGGATTTGCCATTTTTAGAAAATGATTTTTAAAGAATTTTCCCATATACTCAGTATATATCTTTAAAAACTTTGGTTGGCCATTTTGGCCCCGCCCTACCTCTGGGGGTCATGATTTGAACAAACTTGAATCTACACTACCTGAACATGCCTCCATATAAATATGATGAATTATGGCTTTGTCATTCTTGAGGAGAAGATTTTTAAAGAATTTTCCTATATATTTCTGTGTAAAACTTTGGTCGGCCATTTTGACCCCGCCCTACCCATGGGGGTCATGATTTGAACAAACTTGAATCTACACTACCTGAACATGCTTCCATATAAATATGATGAATTATGGCTTTGTCATTCTTGGGAAGAAGATTTTTAAAGAATTTTCCTATATATTTCTATGTAAAATTTTGGTCGGCCATTTTTGCCCCGCCCTACCACTGGGGGTCATGATTCAAACAAATTGAATCTACACTACCTGAGGATGTTTCCCCATAAGTTTCATCTTTCCTGGCACAGTGGTTCTTGAGAAGAAGATTTTTAAAATATGCCACTAAATTTTCATTAATTCCCAATTATCTCCCCTTGAATGAGGGCGTGGCACTTCATTTGAATAAATTGGAATTCCCTTCACCCAAGGATACTTTGTGGCAAGCTTGGTTGAAATTGGCCCAGCGGTTCTTGAGAAGAAGTCGAAAATGTGAAAAGTTTACAGACAGACAGACAGACGGACAGACAGCTAGACAGACAGACGGACAGACAGACAGACAGACGGACGGACGCCGGACAAAATGTGATCAGAAAAGCTCACTTGAGCCTTCGGCTCAGGTGAGCTAAAAACATAAACCAGTTGTTCAGAAAAAAATCATTTGAAACAAGTATGATATTGTTTATTTCTAGATGCATCACCCATGCAAGTTAGGTCCATGTTCAGCTTATAAGTACTTTAGAATGGACCTGCTCCTGAAACTTTTAACTCTGACGCCAATAGTTATACAGAATAACACTCAGTCTAACCTTTAAATTTAGTGCATTTGAAGCGTTAAATATTTACTAAATGGTAAAGCCAAATACAGTACAAGTTTTCTGCACAAGGAAAGAAATTAAGACAGGATAAACAATTATGCATCTTTTCTTTGATTTTGTATGTCTCTGTGTGTGTGTGTGTGGGGGGGGGGTAAAAAAAAAGAAGACCCCAGAGTCTTGAAGGTCAGCAGAATATAATAATTTTCTCAGGCTATAGCCAGTTTATCACCATATTGAAATGGAACCCTGACCTCATGTAGCAAACATTTATTTTTATTTTTAAACAGATTGTTAGGGACATCATCAATTTCATACAGTTTATATCCTTGAACAACAGAAGATTACCAGGGTACATGTAGGTAAATTCATAATAAATTTCAATTTATCTCCAACTTAGTCCAAGGCTTGATCCCTGAACCCACGAACATGAATTTGATAATTTTGGAAAGGGCTATAAAACATCAGACAAACCTGGTATTGCTTCTACAGCAAAATCACACACTTTCTTGGGTAGACGCTTCTCGTGGAAAATATCTATATCCAGTAAACAGGCAGAATTTGAATCAAAGCAAACACTAAATCTGAGGTTGACAAGATACTGGTTCTCAGCTGATAAATCCCAAATCTGAAATCTGTCAAGTTAAAGAAAACTTGAAACAGTTTGTTTTTCAAAGTTTTTAAACTCCTATCTGACACACATCTGGTTGTGGGATCACGACACTTTGCAAAATGCAAATTTAAACTGAATATTTCATTTTTGAATACACCAGTTCAGGGAATTTTCAGGAAAAAAGCCAAAGAAATCTAAAGTTAAATCTGAAAAACATTTTTTTCAATGATTTTCTGACCTTGACATAAACATAATAGACAGGGGTCATAGGGCCCTAGAGATTTAGGATATAACAAGAGGCCCATGGGCCTTATAGGTCACCTGAGCATTATGCAACAACTTTCCAGTGATTGAATTTGATTCATGTTTTAAGCCAGATGCCATGGCATTCACAATTTTGAAAGAGGCACCATTGATCATCATAACAATACACTTAGCAGTTGCTTAGTTTGTTTACTTAATACCCATATGCAGGGTAAGGGAACACAAAATGCATTTCAACTAATCAGTAATATTCAGCAATAATCAGTAGTGCCCCTACCATACATGAACCCCTGACCCTTAGGCCTTGATATTTGATTAATACCAAGGAGCAGATTTCAAACCATTCATTCATTTTCAGTATGTAAGTACAACAACAACAACCCCTCTCTCTATGGTACCCCTGACCCTGGGGCCTTGAAATTCACAATTGTGGAAGATATGGGCCCTTGTCCATCATAACTATATTGGTAGTTCATCTGCTTAATACCCTGGAGCAGAGAAGAAAATTTTCAAAGGTTTAATGTATTTTCACTATATAATCAATAGAGCCCCGCCCTAACACCAGAACCCCTGACCCTGGGGCTATAAAATTCAGAATTAAGAAAGAGGCATTCTTGCTCATCATAACCATATACTTAGTCAGTTTATTTATTTCCTAGGAGCAGAGGAGAAGATTTTCAAAGAATTCATGTATTTTCACTATATAATCAATACAGTCCCACCCTAACACCAGAACCCCTGACCCTGGGGCCATAAAATTCATTATTTTGGTAGAAGCACTCTTGCTCATCATAACTATGCACTTAGTTAGTTTATTTTTTTCCTAGGAGCAGAGGAGACGATTTTCAAAGAATTCAGGTATTTTCACTATATAATCTATAGAGCCCCGCCCTAACACCAGAACCCCTGTCCTTGGAGCCATAAAATTCATAATTTTGGTAGAGGCACTCTTGCTCATCATAACTATGTACTTACTTAGTTTATTAAATATCCAGGAGCAGAAAAGATGATTTTCAAAGAATTCATGTATTTTCACTATATAATCAATAGAGCCCCACCCTAACAGCAGAACCCCTGACCCTGGGGCTATAAAATTTATCATTTTGGTAGAGGCACTCTTGCTCATCATAACTATGCACTTAGTAAGTTTATTTAATACCTAGGAGCAGAGAAGAAGATTTTCAAAGAATTCATGTATTTTCACTATATAATCAATAGAGCCCCGCCCTAACACCAGAACCCCTGACCCTGGGGCCATAAAATTCATAATTTTGGAAGAGGCACTCTTGCTCATCTTAATTATGTACTTAGTTTATTTAATACCCAGGAGCAGAGAAGAAGATTTTCAAAGAACTCATGTATTTTAACTATATAATCAATAGAGCCCCGCCCTAACACCAGAACCCCTGACCCTGGGGCCATAAAATTCATAATTTTGGTAGAGGCACTCTTGCTCATCATAACTATGTACTTAGTTAGTTTATTTAATACCCAGGAGCAGAGAAGAAGATTTTCAAAGAATTCATGTATTTTCACTATATAATCAATAGAGCCCCGCCCTAACACCAGAACCCCTGACCCTGGGGCCATAAAATTCACAATTTTGGTAGAGGCACTCTTGCTCATCTTAACTATGTAATTAGTTGGTTTATTTAATACCCAGGAGCAGAGAAGAAGATTTTCAAAGAAATAATGCATTTTCACTACCTACTTATTTAGCCCCGCCCTAGCACTAGAACCCCTGACCCCAGGGCCATGAATTTCACAATTATGGAAGAGGACTCATTGCTGATTACAATCATGCAAACAGTTTGACTGCTTGATGTCCAGGAGTAAAGAAGAAGATTTTTAAAGATTGCACTAATTTTAGTGGTTTTGGCCCCACCCCACAGGCCCCAGGCGGGGCAGGGATCATGAAATTCACAATTTTTGTTCCCCTTCAACCATAGATGCTTTATGCCAAATTTGGTTGAAATTGGTTCAGTGGTTGCAGAGAAGAAGCTGAAAATGTTCAAATGTTAACGCACGACACACAACGCACGACGACGGATGAAAACAGATAGCAATAGGTCACCTGAGTTTACTCAGGTGACCTAAAAAAATTAAAAAGGCTGTTGTCAAGTTGAGATTCCATGTTTATGATAACTGAAACTACGAAAATCTTTTCACATTGAAACAGTTAAATCTGAAGCCCCCTCCCCCTAATTGTGTTTTGTTTGTTTGAAAAAAGGGTACACGAATTCTGTTGTATTAACACTTTCATTTCATTCAACTTTCTCAAATAAAGCTATTGATAATGAGAGAAAATGAGTTTCTTACTTAATGCGAACAACATTGACCAATCTGACATCTTTTTCCACTCCAAAACTGTACTCCTGCATGTAGATCTGAAACTGGAATTTGTCAATACCAAATCTGATGGTGAAGTTACATGGATCTATGTCAAGGTAGGCATGGAAGTTGTGGTGGATTGGTTCTGCTCCGATACAACAGTCAACACCTGTACAGGACTCTGTGATCTGACAAACCATGTTGCTCGGAAGTGTTGGAAGGGAAGAAATGTCCTTTGGGCATACTACAAGCCAGAAAAAAATATTTTACTCATTCATAATCATTTATAATTCTGTTTACCTGAGAGATTTTTTTTTAATAGTGCCAAAATGTTATAACCTTTTTTGATTCCACTGATATTTGGTACAAAGGCAGAGCCTACCAATGAACAAGGGGGATCATTCAAAAATGTAGGAAGACCAAGTGCCTCTTTCAGTTTATCAAGAGCAAGACCTTTTATTTGATCATAAGCTGTTATTGCAGCGTTGTCCATAAACTGCTTCAGGGAAAAATCTGTCAAAGAAGAAAAACTCTTTATTATAATTTCCCTCTTATATACGGGAATAGTACTCAAATAGGACAACCACTATGTTTAATATAGTTTTTATATTTATTTGATTAATGGTTAACAAATAATTTATAACTTAATTCACAATTCATGATATAGTCTTAATTAACACCCACCTTGGCTCAAGAATGATGTTCCCCAAATGCATGCTTGCTTAGACAATTTGAATTGATCTAGGATATTTGTGTTGATGAGACAATCTCCTCCATCTTCAAAGCAGATTGCTAGGTCTACTGTAACCACATAAACACCTTCCCCTTCATTGTCCCAAATGGTGTACCTTTTGAGTGAATACAATATTATTCTTTTGCACTGGTTAACAGGTATCCTTTCCAATTACCAGACAAGAAGAAAATAAAGGATCTTTATGTTGATATTAATAAAATTATATCTTAAATACAAATTACTTCTAATCTCAAACAAGAGGTCCTTGAGTGACAATGCTTACCTGAATCACTTTTTGTTCTGTGTCAGCCCCCCCCCCCCCCTTATAAACATATATTCATAAGTGTAATTTTTATTTACAATTATGGACCCGCCATATATACAGGAGAAATGATTTGAACAAAAATTAATCTACACAACCAGAGGATGCTTTCATTGATTTATCATAGCTACGTCGCTCTTAGAATAGATGAATTTTTAAAAGTTTCCCCCCGGTAATCCCTACTGGGACCCTTATCCTAACCACTGGGCCAAGATATGATCAATTTAAAATCTACACTAGCTCAGACAGATTTCATATAAATTTCAGTATTTCTGCTGCAGTGGCTCTTGAAAAAAATGAAAATGTAAATCTTTGATTTTCCTATTATTGTCCACCCTATCCCTATGGGCCATGATATGAAACATTTACGATCTACACTTCCTCTGAGAATTTCCACATATATATTTTCTAACTCAGTATTTCTTCAGAAAATATTTTTTTATAACTCAGTATTTCTTCAGAAAATATCTTTTCAATAATGCAGAATTCCCTTTATCTGGGGGTGCATTGTAACACAATGGATTAAAACTGGCCCAGTGATTTTCATGAAATGAAGTCGAAAATGTCATACATTTACAGAAAGAAGAATGGAAAGCTGGTGATCAGAAAAGCCCACTTGAGCTTTCAGCACAAGTGAGCTAAAGAACCTACCACATCTTGACAATGCCCATGATGACCACCTCCTTTCTTTTTCCTGTAAATATTAAAAAAAGATTTTCTAAACACTCCCACATAAATATTGTAAGTTGACGAATTATCGTTATAGCCCTTGTTTGAAAAGTGGGAGGGTATATAGTTATCAGGATGTCCATCCGCCTGCCTGTACATCCATCCGTTATGCTTTCGGGTACCCATCTTTTATCCACAACTCTTATTACGCTGAATGATATTTAATGAAACTTTCATAGATTCTTTGTTACATCTTACCATTGTAACCACTTATTTTACGTTTTGATTGGAAACATTTCGGGTTTTCCATAGCAAAACATTGATACTGCCATTCTTTTTATAATACTGAAGGGTACCAATCTATTATCCGCAACTCTTCCCATACCATTGAATTGAATTTAATAATAGTTTCACAGATTCTTTATCACATAATTCCAGTGTGCATGTCTTATTTTACTTTCTTGTCTGAAACTTTTTTTCAAATCCCCCAGAGCAAGAGATGGACTTCGCCATTAAAATCATGAGGGAAGCGGGGGTATCATTTAGTTAGCTCTCATTGCTCACAGTACCTCTAGTTTTATTTGTGTGTATATAAATAAAATGATACAAAGTAAATGAAATGAGAGGTAGAACAAATATTGATTCCTAAACCTCACTTCATCTTTTTTTCATAACCTTGTAAATTACACTTATGTCAGACCCCCTTTTCATATTATGCACTTTATAGAGTAAAATTGCAAAATATTTTCATAACAGAATGATATGAGGTATGGATATGGTGAAGCAAATCTGAATTTTTGGAACAAAAAGTTTTTCTTCTAGAGTACATAAAACATAAAATCTACCAATTTTGAAGGTAACGTTAACTTATGTTAGTAGGAGCTGCAAAAAATATCTCTGTAACAATTTTATCATCTTCTCTGGTTAAAACCCTGAAAATACATTGTAACAAACTGATCCAGAGTAAGGATCGATTATCATTTTCGATTAGTTATCGATTTCTTTAGATCATAATCAACAATGGTATAAAGTCAAAGTTTTCAATTATAAAAAGTATGGGGTAGATGTTAGTGCATAAACAAATGGATTGAAACTTATATATTTAAGTATAATACAATATATCTTTGAAAGTCTTAATAAATTTTATCTTTCTGCTTTTTATGATGACAAATAAAGCAATGTGGGGAAAGCAAAATCCTAAATTTATACCATACTCAAATCCCTGGAGAGAAACAGTCTCTGTAAGCTTCTCTATACCAAAAGTCAGTTTCTGGTTACAGAAGTCTATGTCCAATTCAATCTCAAATGTTCTGCTGACTTTTCCAACCTCCACACAGCATTTGATAGCTGTACATGTGTTTTTGATGTAGCAGGCAGTTGTTCCTCTTATTGTTGGCAATGACATTTTAGCTGGACAGTCTACAAAATCAAATTCTAAATATATATATATATATAAATTTTATTCATAGTACTATCTCATGGAAACTTTAACACAAATTGTCTGATACACATTGTACAGCATGCACTCATATTAAAAATCAATACAGGAGAAAGTAATGCACAAAACATTAAGCTCATGCAAATATTTGAAGACAATAGAAAACAAGAGGCCCAGGGGCCACATTGCTCACCTGCGCAACTAGCTAGGTAAAAGCAAAAATCAGTTTAGTATTGAAAAGTTTAAATATATCATAAAAGTGTGTAAGAGGGAGTAGGAGATTTGAACAAACTTAAATCTACACTTCCTAAGAATGCTTTTGAATAAATATGACTCGAAATGGCTTTGTTGTTTATTGTTATGATCCACTTTAATGATGCTTTTAAATTGATGATCAATCATGGCTTTCCCGGGGGTCATGGTTTGAACAAACATGAATCTACACTACCTGAGGATGCTTCCATATAAATATGACCAATCACAACTTTGCTGTTCTCAAAAAGAAAAATTTTAAAGATTTTTTCTTTGTAATCCTACTCTGATCACCCACAATGACCTCACCCTTGCTTCAGGGTTCATGATTTGAACAAACCTCACTACCAGAGGATGCTTCCATATAACTATGAACAAACAAAGCTTTGATTTTTAAATTTCCTATGTATTTCTATGTTTAACTTTGATACCCCATCGTGTCCCCACCCTACCCAGGGTTATAATTTGAGCATACTTGAATCTTCATCTCCCCTTGGAAAAGGGCGTGGCCCTTCATTTGAACAAGCTTGAATCCTCTTTACCTAAGAATACTTTGTGACAAATTTGGTTGAAATTGGTTCATTTGTTCCTAAGAAGAAGATGAAAATGTGAAAAGTTTATGACAAGGCCGACAACGACAACAACGCAGACGACGACAGGAAACGGACAAATTTTGATCAGAAAAGCTCACTTGAGCCTTCGGCTCAGGTGAGCTAACAAGAGGCCCACGGGCCTTATAGGTCACCTGAGTATTGTGTAACAACTTTCAAACAATTAAATTTGGTTCAACCGGAGGCAATGAAATTCACAATTTGCAATTTTGAAAGAGGCACCATTGCTTATCATAATTGTTAACTTAGCATGCTTACTCTATTTACTTAATACCCAGAGGTAGATCAGAGTAACAAAGAGAAAATGCACTTCCACTTTATAACCAGTTGTGCACCTCACCCCAAAGGAACCACTGACCCAGGGCCATACATTTCAAAAAATTTTGCAAATTTTATCATAAAATGGTTGATTAATACCAAAGAGCAGATTTCAAAGCATTAATTTATTTTCAGGATATGTATCCCCCCCCACCACCCACCCCCCTTTGACCCTGGGGGCATTAAAAACCACTTTGCTAGATGCACCTTTCTTCATCATAAATATATATATACTTGGATCATTGGCTTAAAACCCAGAAGCAAAGAAAAATATTTACAAAGAATAAATGTAATTTTACTATATAATCAATAGAGCCCCGACTTAACACCAGAACCCCTGACCCTGGGGCCATAAAATTCACAATTTTGGAAGAGGCACTCTTGCTCATCATAACTATGTACTTACTTAGTGTATTTAATACCCAGGAGCAGAGAATAAGATTTTCAAAGAAATAATGCATTTTCACTATATTATCTATAGGGCCCCGCCCTAACACCAGAACCCCTGACCCTGGGGCCATAAAATTCACAATTTTGGAAGAGGCACTCTTGTTCATCATAACTATGTGCTTAGTTAGTTTATCTAATACCCAGGAGCAGAGAAGATTTTCAAAGAAATAATGCATTTTCACTATATAATTTATAGAGCCCCGCCCTAACACCAGAACCCCTGACCCTGGGGCCATAAAATTCACAAATCTTGAAGAGGCACTCTTGCTCATCATAACTATGTGCTTATTTAGTGTATTTAATACCCAGGAGCAGAGAAGAAGATTTTCAAAGAAATAATGCATTTTCACTATATTATCTATAGAGCCCCGCCCTAACACCAGAACCCCTGACCCTGGGGCCATAAAATTCACAAATCTGGAAGAGACACTCTTGCTCATCATAACTATGTGCTTAGTTAGTATATATAATACCCAGGAGCAGAGAAGAAGATTATCAAAGAAATAATGCATTTTCACTATATAATCTATAGAGCCCCGCCCTAGCACTAGAACCCCTGACCCTGGGGCCATGAATTTCACAATTTTGGTAGAGGGCTTAATGCTCATTACATTCATGCCAATAGTTTGCCTGCTTGATGTCCAGGAGTAAAGAAGAAGATTTTTAAAGATTTCATTAATTTTAGTGGTTTTGGCCCCACCCCTCAGGCCCCAGGGGGGCGGGGACCATGAAATTCACAATTTTTGTTCCCCTCTACCCATAGATGCTGTATACCAAATTTGGTTGAAATTGGTTCAGTGGTTTCAGAGAAGAAGCTGAAAATGTTCAAATGTTAACACACGACACACGACGCACGACGGACGACGGACGAAAACGGATAGCAATAGGTCACCTGAGTTACTCAGGTGGCTAAAAATGCGAAAATATACATTCTTAATAAGCATCATTTTTGTGTAAGGAGTATATGCATTAGAGTTACACAACTGCCATTTTTATGTGAAATAAAACGATTAAATGGTTTGAGGGATGCTCACTCCTCCATGACACCTGATCCCACCTCTGATGTTTTGGAGGTCCGTGTTTGCTCTGCTCCTATTTTGTATTGTTTTATGGACTTTGTTATTGAATACTGTTCTTTATCTCAATTTCCTTCATGAGACTCAGAAACAGGTTGTGAAATAAAAAAAAATAACTTTCCCCAAAATTGATGAAGTGAATGTGGTAACAATTCACCTTAATATGCAAGACTGCTGGAAACTTCAAATTTTCAGTGGGTATCAATTCTTCGCTTTTTTTTTAAACTGACTATGATCAAACTGTTAAAATTTTTCACCTGAGGACCACCCACTGATGTCCACTTTGTTGACACTATAAGGTGGTTCTGTCCTTTCACATGCTGGACTCCTCAAGAAAGAATTAATCCCTAGCTTTTTAAACAAAGCAGTAGCTAGTGCTGTAGACAAACTTCCATCAAATGACAGACCATGATCATCCATCCACTTCATCAGAGAAAAATCTATGGAGAAAACATTTCTTACAACGTTTAAAGTATTAAGGAATAGCAATTTTAAAACAAAAATATCAAAATATACAAATCCCACACGTAAAGATGTATGATAATGCATTTTTTTTTTTGATAAAAAAAAATTCCCACCTTTGATATTAAAATCCATGGTGAGGTCACAATTGAGAATGGGAATAAGGACTTCTTTTAATATAGGAATATCCAAATCACAGACTGCAGGTTCTAAACACACAGAAACCCCCATGTCTAAAACATATTTCTTAGATACTTCCAGCTGAGTGGCTTTAAATCTATAAGAGAAATTGTTATATGACTTACATCTTTATTACCATCATTTTAAGAAAAGATACTACAGACAAAACAAAACTAAACACACTTACTTGATGAAGACAACATTTCCAATATTCATGGAGACTTCTCTACCTAGATTTTATAAGAAATAAGAAAATTAATAAACAAGCATAGACTTTTTATGAGGTCAATCCATTGAAATAATGAATTCACAGTGAAGCTTATCAATAGAACACAAACCCTTGGCCGATCATGCTAGCTGAAATGTAGATTATTTTAAACAAAATTTGACTGTATTCAATTTTTTTGGCTCATAAAATCAGTACTTAATTATACCTGGTTAAGCAGCCATGTGTATTTAGTGCTAGTTCTTTTGAGAATAAGATAAATGCTGAAATAAAGAAAACTGAAAACCCAAGAGAGAAGAGGAGACAAACATGAAAAATGATTAATTCTCTTGTTACCGACATGTCCTTATATACTGAGCAAAATAAGTTTAGCAATTGTTTTTCCATAGGTATAATTTTAAAAATATTTTTCAAAATTGTTTTATTTTGTTTCTACATAAAATCAATTTTCAAAAAGGTAACAAAAGACACACTTCTTTTTTTAACTTGACGCGCAGAAACCGCGTCGTCCAATTTTGTGAAAATTCAACAATACAAATGGACATGCTCGAACGCGCATGGTCCTGGAAGAATTTTTTACTTGAAAAGCCCTTCAAACACGCTTTTTAAAGAAAACCGGTGAAAAATTGCAAAAACGTCTAATTGGGAAACGTCCAGGACTTTTAAAAAATGAACGTCAAACAACTATAGAGATGCTAAGGCCTGTTGCTCACAAAAAGATGTCGTTGAACACTTTCTTGTGCATCCGTTAACCATATGTCGACTTTTAAACCGATCCCGGACCACATGACATATAAGTGATTATCAGCGCTCAGGACGTTCACGAAAAACGACGGTTAGTCAAGATCGTCTTACTGTTACAACGTCGAGACGTTACCGTTTCATGGCTGCTTCTTAAAGTTACAGAAGAATTACGCCATGCAACTGGACTGAGGTTATATGCACAAAGTGTAAGAAACCAGCTAGGTTTAGCAAATCTTCGAGCTCAAAAACCTCTCGTAGCAGTACCACTAACTCAACGTCATGGACAATCCCGCCTCGCATGGGCAATGTCCGTCCGCATACCGCACGACACACAAACTCTCCTTCGTCAGAATGATGTTAGGATCTTTGATTGGCTCGCGATATTGCCAGATTTGTCAGCAATTGAACACGTTTGGGACATTCTTAGTCATCGATTAAGACAACGACATAACGTCAACAACGTAGGGGAACTGACCCTTGTCCTGCAGCAGGAGTGGAACCAAATCACTATGCTAAAATACAAAACCTTATAAGGAGCCTGAGACCCCGTTGTGTTATTGTTATTGCTGCAATTGGAGGCCTTACACAATATTGAAATTGAATCTTACTTTCCAAACCCGTACGTATCAGTTATCAGTTTCACGATATTTCTTACAAAACAATACAAATTTGCCTCATTTTGATTTGTGGTGACACGCTCACTTAAAAATTTAATTGTAAGTGCTGTGTCTATTTTTTAAACTTTTTTTTATGATAAATATCTTAAATTGCTAAACTTATTTTGCTCAGTATATACTGAACTTACAATATAGCTGGGCAATTCAAGTAAACAATTATACCCTGCCCGTTTTGTACTCCAACCTATACAACTGACTTTAAAATGAATTCAGAACACTTATATCACTAGTAGTACCGGGGTAAAGTAATTAACTTTCATTTAATACTACAAAGATATTATACCCCAGAAATTGTTGAAATCTAGCAATCCATAACTGAATGTTTTCTTTTCAATTCCTCCAGAGATGACATAGTTACACCTATCAAAGTGTAGGAAGATATGAAGTTTGAGGTTCAGCAGACTGAAGTCCACACAGCAGTCTATCCGTGTACAGTTAGAGGAAAGGCTGCATCTCACTTTGTCTGAGGTAATCTGGGGTAAAACTACCCAGTCCAATGGACACTCTGTAGTGAAAAGACATAGACTTGTTTAAAAGCGATGTTCAATGGACATTCTGTACAATTAACAGAAAAAAGATTAACCATTTATCATAACTTGAACTAATTACCTCCTCTATTTCTTATCACTGGAAATGAAACATATAGAATATCCATATAAATTCAACTCACCATTTTTCCATCCATGAACATTTGGAAAATATAGATCCCCAGATGCATCACAAGGTGTTTCTAAAAGGTATTGTTCAACACCCAGTTGCTGGAGCAGTAAAGTCTTGGCATTGTTCTTTAGATCACTCACTGAAGGTATGTCCATTTCTTGTAACCAATCAGTAAGTGAGAAATCTGTAGACGAATAGTATTTAGGCTGTTTAATAAAGGAAGAAAACTCTGTAACTGCTCTAATGTATTCCGTTGTATTTTCTACATAAACATAAATTCACAACATCCATTTTCTATCGTCTTTAGCAGAGACTCATCTTTTATTACATACTCTTGCTTTCTCCAGTGATAATGGCTCTGATTGTTGGTAGCCTGGTATTTCTTAAAATGGGGATGTCAATTGAACACTCTCCTCCATTCAGACACACAGAGGCATGAACATTGAACACATACACATTCTCATTTGTTATTGGCTTTACACTTAACCTAAAGAAGAATTTAACATTCAAGCTAGCATTTATAAACAGATATTTACATTTCCAATGTTTTTGTCCAAGATAAAATTACAAACAATTAATGTACTTTATTTCTTAATAAATGCATTGGTTCATCAATAGGCGCGGTTAAAAATCATGAGCAAATAGAGACAGAAGCGGGGCTTGTAGCACCTAGATTGGCGGAATTAAGAGCATGTAAATATAAGGAATAACTGTCAGATTTTTTGCTTTCATGACGATTATCAATCGATTGGGTTTCATAATAATTCTATGCATAAATGCCTTCGGCGTTTATGCAAATTATCACACAAGCCACTCGATTGATCACATCATGAAATAAAAAAAAATTAGACAGTTATTCCTTACATGCTAAATGGCTGTTAAAAATATGAAAGTACTTGTTCAGTTTATACTACTTATTTTAAATTTTGCTTGTTCAACTGAATTTTGATTAGTTCTTTTACATAGTTTATTTACATTTAAAACAATTACTTTGTTTCAAAATTACAAAGTAAACAAGTTTATAAAATGGATTTCTTTTATTCATAACTGTATAATTACTAATTAATCAAAAAATTAGACACAAATGCTCCTAAACGAGAAACTTAAACATACCTTAGTTTGATAAGACCGTCAGCCACACTGTAAGTTTTCACTTCTCCCCACACATAGTCATTAAGTTTGATGGTCTCTTTTATGTTTTCCATTCCTATTTGTAGTTCCAATTTGTCCAGGTCCAGAAGAGCAAACACATGTAACCCAAGGCCAAGGACAGGAATATCAGCACAGCACTCTATCCCTGTACAGTAGTCAGGTATATAGCAGGACATTGGGTCAGGGATCTTGGATGGTAGGTAAAGGATGGTCTTTGCACATTCTAGAAAAAAAATGCAAATGTGTGTATTCTGTAGATCACTATATTACATGCATCAAAACATCTATTTTTTTTTACAAGACAGTCATTGACTCCATTTTAGTGAGACAAAATTTTCATGAGTGGTGGCTAATGCTCAATAATCTCAGGGAATAATAAAATATGTGAGAACGAATTTTCCGTAGGAAAACTGTCTCACATAAATACACGAAAATAAAGTTCTTGCAAATAAAAAATTATTTACAGTATATTCTTTATTCCTGGTTTAATAATCTGTCACTTTATTTCAATTATTGTCACAGCTCTCGCTCTGTGATTTGGTGTTCGAATCATGGCCAATACTAATTGAAGTCAAAAAAATTAGTCGCAACTGTTCTTCGCAAAAGCACTTGGCATTTTGAAGTGAAAGTCTCTGGGTCTTTTGGATGAAACCTAAAACCCCAAGGTCTTGTGGCAAGGTAGGCATTGGCATGGTAAAGACCATTACTGTTCAATTAATGGCCTTGATTCTGAATTCTTTGTATTATTTCAGAATTTTTTTTCTTGTATTATTTTTATATTAAATTTTATTTTTGACTTGGGTGTGTAAAGGTCTTAATCTGTAGTCCTTCATACAGTGAAGTCTCTATGTAAAAAAAAACTCAAACAGGACATAAAACAGCATACAATCAATCAATCATAACTCACATCAAGAAGTAGGTTCACTAACTCCATAAAATGGTCCTGTTTATATACCAATTAACTGACCTAGTCCCAATGTCCTATTTCAAACATCAATATAAAGTAGGGACTTGCATTTGGTGCTTTTATTTCTCATAAAAAATCATAAGTATTGATAAACAGGCTTAATGAAACTGAAATATTTTTTTAAATTAAGAAGAAAATGAGTGAATTAGAGCATCTTCTACTTACATGTATAATGATTAAAATATGTAATTAAACATTTCAGATCAGAGGTTAGGGGCTATGCAAAATGTTCAAAAACGGCTTACATTTTTGCCATTTATAAAGAAATTTTCAAACTTCATGACATCATAATACGTATTAGACTGAAGAGAAAATCATATCATTTTTAATTGTTATGTACTCATCAAGGGTTCAACTGAAATTTAACATATTGTCAAGTAAATTCAAGCAGTTCTAATTTTTCAGAAATTCACAGGGCCAAAAGCCGTATATACATAAGTGAACTCTGTTCCTTCAAAGTAAATAAATACATTTTCTGTCTATATACTTGAACATCATAGTTTATTTACATTAAATTCTTCTGATTATTTCTTTCAAAAATACATTTTTATTAAATGTATCTTGTCTACAGGGGTTATAGAATTTACTACCAGAAGTAAGATTCAAAGAAACTTTGGTTTACATACTATTGTGTATCCCTTGTATAGAGGGTATGTATGGCATCCTGGTTCTGTCACATTTGGGTCTTTGGAAGAAGTCAGTCAGATTAAGCTGGTCCAGCAGTAACATCACAGCGCCCTCTGCCAGCTGTTCATTGAGATCCAGTGATTTCTCCCTCATCCAATCAGTCAATGAGAAGTCTTAATTCAAAGGAACTTATAAACTGAGAACTATTTTCCCTTTATACTAAATAGCTTGAAATGGAATACAAGTTCATCATCAAAACATGTGACTGTTGCCAAAATGCTGCATCATCTTTTCCTCATATTCTAGATATTTGCAACCAAGCTGTTCTTATATATAAACCTATTCACTAATCTACTAAAAATATGAATCTAAAGATCCATTTCCCAAACACAAGTTGGGTCAAAGAAGGAATTACGTTTAGTTAAAGCACTGCTACATTAAAGGATTATAAATATACCTTTGCGCAAAGCATACTCACTCCTTATGTCAATCAACTGTCTCTGATCACAAAGTGGAATTTCCTGATTTTTAAGAAGATGAAGACCATCATTTGTTGGAATACATGCAACCTTCACGTCAAAGTCAAAGCAAATGAGTATTCTTAAATCCACTATAAAGCCTTTGTTTCCTGGAATTTGCTCTATCTTGTATCTGTTTGATTATAAAACAATTTTAAAAAATAATAATTACCTCTGAATATAACATGACATAAAAAATGAAGCTTCAAAGTACAAAAAAAAAAAAATTACAAAAAATTATGTCCTTTTCAAGGAAAGAAAGATGGTCCTATCTCAGCTAGAACCCTTTTTTCTTATCTAAATAGCGTTAAACTGTGTTATCTAGAATTTTAATATTTTGAATACCATGAATTCGCTGGAGTTAGTTAAGACCCTTTTTCTTTTGTTAACTTCAATATTTTGAATCATCAAAAATATCAACCTTTTTTCTGGACCCCATAGGGTTTGTGATGGCTAGGTTTAACTGTAATAATTAGACAATGACAAAGAAAAATAATAAAAAGGAATCATTCTAGGCAGACCCATTTTGATAAAATCCTATAATTTGATACATTTGGCATATTACGGATCAAAATCTGAAAGTTCAACTTAATCCAAACTAATACCAGGAAGATTTTGATGCAAAGCATTTATTTTCATGAACTCATTAACCTACGTAATTTCTACTGGAGGTGGATTTCCAGAGCCAAGTGTCAAAATCTGTTGCTTTCCTGAAAGTAAAAATTATTGACTATTATTAATGACACACAAAATTTATCATTCATTATAATAATGAAATGAAATATCTTGCGGATTGAAAATAAAAGCAGTAAACATTTTATTACTGCACACCTACCATACTCATATTCTAATATATGTGTTTTCAGAAGCATCTTATTTCCAAAACCAATGTCTAAGGAGAAATCACATGGGTCTAACTTGAACCAGAATGGGATGTTCTTGGTTATTTTGGTATCTCCCAGGGGTATGTTGAAAGTCAGCTGAAGACAACAGTCAATTCCCCAGCAGTTAGGAGGCTGTTCACATGTTACCATCTCCTTCAGCTGTTCTGGTAAATTCTTTCGCACATCAAACTCAGCTGGACAATCTACAATCATGCAAGAGTGAAACAGTTATTAATGTTATTATCAATAAGGTTATAAATTAAAGATATAAACATAAATTCTAAGAAATATAACCAGGAAATCCACCTGCAAACAAAATATGAACAATATTACTTAACTGAAAGATGGCAACTTAATTCATTAGTGATATGTGTGCCAGCTGTTTCAGTAAATACCAGTCCTTAAAAAAATTGAATATATATCTCTTTCATAATAAATTAAAATCTCTGTGACTAATTCAACCCAGATATCATGATAAGTCACAGCCGTTTAATGTTTTTTCTTTGCATGAATATGCTAGCTGTTATTCAAAATGTTTCTAATAAATTTTTTTCCTACTAGGCATGCACAAACTAGATCATATTAGAACTGTTTATCATCTACATTATGTTTATTTCATACTCAGTGAACTATGCTACATTTTCAAGTACGTTCTGAAATATCTTTCTCAGCTTTGGTACACTTGCTCTCAAAGTATCAAGATTTTCACTCTTTATATCTTCGGATATATGATGGTACAATCAATGCAAGAATTTCATAACCGTGAGTCTCAAACTAAACTTTCAAAAATAACATTGGATCAAGTTGAAAACAATTCCAACTGTATTAAGTATCATTATTGGTTCAATTTCCTGCTTCTTTAAAGTTAAGTTTGAAAAAAAAAATTATGGTCAGAGCATTGTATGTCAAATATTAACATTCACAATACAATTACATGTATTTTCATCACTTACTTTCTGGAGCAGGTGGAATACCGGGGCATGGTCCTGATGTTATTACATCCTGCAAGATTAAAATTTATTCTTGAAAATGGTTACCTATTGATATCAAAGTAACAAGCTATAGGATATAACTATCTTTCTTCTGAAGAAAAACCACCAAATGTAGTTATGCTTACATTCAGATTAAACTTTTTAAGTACAAGCTCAAAAGCTTCCTCTGTCATCTTTCCTCCAATTTTTTCAAGCAGTCCAGCAAAGGAGCCATTTCCTAATTACAGGACAAAATAAATAAATCTTTCTCAAGTTTCTTATGAGTAATTCATTAATGCTTTGCACTCAAGAAAATATATTAAACAAAACATATCCTACATATGAAATTTATTCCATATAAAAATACAAACATTGCATATCCTAAATATCCTCCAAATTTGTAAGTATGGAGGTTATATGTAATGTAATGTAATTTACAGAAAAACTCTTTTTCAAAATAAAATTTACTTTTGTAAATTTCCGAAACTTGTATCTCTGAAAACTTGTACCTGGAAAAACAAAGTCCCTGCATACAGGAATAGGAATCCTCAAATCTGTGAATAAATATTTGTCTAAAATGCAATCTGCTGGTGAAGACAAACAAATCATAAGTCCAAACTGCAAAATGAACACTCCTTCATCAACATTTCTGCCAATGCTGTACCTAAAATGATATGAAAATATTTGATATAACTTATTTCTTCCTCAAACCAAGTTATACTGTAAAATGACAAAGTCCTGAAAAGTTGTCTTTTAATTACACCAGAAAATGGTTAACTCCATTACAGACAATCTCAATGTACAGCGAGCAACTGTCAGAAAATCAACACATATGTATGACCAACCAAAAGGTGTTTTCCTTAATCATACTCACATGACTTTCACATTTGAGCTTATTTCTGCAACTTCATTTGTTCCTATTTAAAAATTGGATAATTTTACAAAGCAATGATGATTTAGTATCACATTTTGATCTTTAAATAAAAATAGCTTAATAATTATTTGAAATGAAGGAAAAACAACAACAACCCCTTAATATATATTTCTTTTCGGTGAATTTCATTCTCAGGGAAATCACAAATGCATTTCTTTTGTAATAATTTATGGTTACAGGTTTATAGACTGTTTTTAGCTGTATCTAAATTCTTACCCCAATTGTAATTCAATAGAACTTTTGTCCACAGGTATTTTTCAAAACCAACTTGTACAACAAAACTGCACGGATCCAATTCTATGAATGCAGACAAAGTTCTACTGAAGGAATATCCCAGAAGTTTTACATTAATGTCTGCCCAAACATCTATCCTCAGACAGTCTTTCTGAATTTTATAGTACAGAATATTGGCAAGGTTTCCTTGTAGTTCCTCTAAAGTAATCTTAGCACAGGCTGAAATTCATAAATTAAAATCTTCATATAATAACAATATTAAAACCAACAAGGCCTATGGACCAAAACCTTCACCTGAGCCATGCTGTTCAACCAAACAGATCCCCCGCCCTCATCCTGGTTAGAATGCCTCCCATATATTCACAATGTAGCACATTGCAGAATCACATCAAAACGATTTTGAAGAATGTAACAGATTTGTAATGAGAATAACTACCAAATTAATAATAACAAACATTTTTTGAGGTTGTATATGTCCTTCAATCTAAAATAATAATCCGTATAAGGATAAAAATTTTAACTTAATTTCGTAAGTTTATTCTCACTTCAACTTTACACGCCATGGTGACATTCCGAACTGTCTGGATTGTTCAGGATTCTTCTAACATTTCGTGTATTTAAAAATTAATGAAATTTTCACAGAATCAAGAGGAAAATATCGCTAAGCGATGGTATCAATGAGATTAAATTTGACCGTTTAATATTAGAGGCAAGGTCAGATCAAGGTCATTACCTTTTTCCTGGACATTAAGAATAAAAAAAATACTGTTTCCAATCATGCGATCCCTACTTGTTATTCAAAAGATTGAATGTTTTTCTTTTTGCATAAAAAGATATTACCATATAAAGCCTATATGATAATATATATTACCAAACTGACATGGATAATTTAAATAAAATGGATATTTGCTAATCCGAATTTCCTCTACTTTTCCTAAATTTTTAGGATTTATTACTTATTTTTATATGCTTCCTATATTTAACTTTTTCCAATTTTCACATATAGTAAAGTTGTCGTATACAGGTATAAAATGAGACAAAAACTAAAAGTTTTGATCGTTTACTTAGAGAGAAATAACACATTTTTACAGATTTTTGGCTCAAATTTGTACTTAGATTTGAAGCATTTACAAGCCAACATAGTTCTAGTATGTGTGCAAAATCTTATTTATTTGATATATTTTGAAACTTTAGTCCCTTATTATTAATTTAACTTACAATTGAAAATTTCATCTAGTCTTTGATTGTGAAAAAATTATAACTAAATTCAATGTTCTATAATAATTTTGAGAGGCAGAAAAGAAGATATTTTCCTACGCCTCCATTCCGCCAATAATATAGTCCCTGCTGGTTTTCAAATGCAGTTTACCATTTCTATTTTAAGTTGTATAATTGTGAAGAGGAAAGAAAAATATGGTCTTTTAAATCTCTTACATCTTAATATAAAAGACATATCAACAAATGTACTTTGATTATTCCATCTAGTCAGAAACCAGAGATGAACCCTACCTTAAGGTTATCTTCCGTGTTTTTCTTTGCTACATTGGCTTTATATGTAAGTTTAGAACAAATTCTATGTTCATCTGAGGTAGCTTTCTCGAAATCTGATTGAAATTTGCCTTAACTCTGAGATTAAAATATGGAAAAGTAATGAAAATAACAACATATGATCGACATATTTCAATCAAAAAGGTTCATTTGCGCCTTTGGCTTGGTGAGTTAAAATACAGTATGGAAGACTTTCATAAGATTACATAGCCAACCTCAACATATGTTTTTTTTTTCTTGAAAAGCAAAGTCCCAAAACACAGTTATAATCAGTTGTGTCAATTTGTACATTCCTAATTGCAACATTTCTGCCATTTAAGGAGAATGGACACAGTTTCAGTCAAAAATTTTCAAAATTCTTTCTTCATGTTTTTATACTTACAAATATTAAACTAATGTATTTCTGAATCCAATCATCAAAAATTTGAATTTCATTTGTTGAGATTGATTTATTGTACATGTATATTGTTAAACGTCGGTTAGCAAAAAAATTCCACTAAAGAATGAACCTGCTCAAAAAACTTTTAACCTGGTCACGTCACTACTCCAGAAAAGTAGGTCAAATTCATCATCCAAAGCAAGTCCAGTGGTGTGCATCCTTAGATATATTATACTTGCAAGTTTTTTTTATCTTATTTTAGGATTTAACTTGCTTAAAAAGGTTTAACATGGTCCTTCCTCCATAAAATTTAAATTCAGAATCCAATGCAAACCTGGTAATTTAATGTGTATGAATCCTTAGCACTATCACCCATGCAATATAACGTTTTAATATAATTATGCTGAATTGAGACCTTGTCTAAAAACTTGAACCTCATTAAAATATTACTGAAAGAATTTCGATATGAGACGCCTATGCCAATGGCATTATAAAATACCAAATTCATTGATGTGAGCTAAATATATCAAGTTCAATTCCTACACAAATCATCCAATGAAAGGCGTTCATTGAGATCTGATCTTGAACCATCTGTTGATAACCTTCTCCGTTCCAGCTCTGCAATAATCTGACCATGTGTCATCTTATCTGGCTTAGGTGATTGAATATCCTCATTAAGCTTGTCCTGAATAATATAAAACATTATTTTTGAAAACAAACTTAGCAACATTTATATGTTTAAGGTAGTTATACCACCTTTTAGTTGTTATTATAAAGATCCCCTATTCCCAAAAATGTGAGTAGTTCACTTTTAAATTGTAGCTTAGAATCCCTCTTGAGAATTTTTCACTCATATGGAGACGCCACCACTTGCCGGTGTAGGATTGATTCCTTACTCCAAGACTCTAGAGCAGACTGCGCCACACAGGCTACAGGTGGGTAGTTGAATAGCCCAAGTGTCTCAAGTGGCCTGAATTTGTAAATACTAGAACACACAAAACTTACCTTTGCCATTTTTAATAACTTCAGAAATTCATCTGTCAGCTCAGAGGTAACTTTTTTAATAATTGCTTTTCCTTGCTCTTTCACTTGCCTAAACAGGGCTTCTTTCATGAAGAGATTTTTGAAATTCACTGCAAGCATAATATGAAATATTTAAACATAATGAAAAATATAAAAGCATTATTTTTAGATTTGGCTTGTTTGCATTTCAAATTCCAAGGCAAGAGATGTTTGTTAAACCCTTACGCCCCCCCCCCCTCCATGGGCAGACATGAGTTGAAATGAACAGAACCGGCAAAAGGAATTTTTGTAAGTCACAGGTGCTAAACTCTAGAAAAATCATTTAATCATACCCAAAACAGATCTTTATCTAGATATTCGTATGATAAATCTAATATATATCTGTACATAATCTCATTTCAATAGAAGCAACCTCTATCTGCACAGAAAATGAATGAAAACTGCACATTATTGGAATTTTTCTAAATGCAAGGGATATAACTTTGTAAAAATTGCTCGATGCAAATTCTGCAAAGAAAATGAATAGAATCTAATGGTGGACCGACAAACAGAGAGACAACAGCAAAGCAGCATGCCCTCCCTTCTCTGAAGTGGGGTATAATAAAAAAATATTTGTTGCCTTATCAAGTCATACTAATCTAGCGATATATCAATATTTAACTTTGCTTATAATGTATCATGATGCATTTTTCAATTCTGACATAAATTTAGGTTTTAATGTTTGAACTGATTGTGGAGAGGGCTTATATAGGCTATGCCTGCTGCCCAATCCCTTTATGTATTTTCACATAAAATATGTTCAAATCAATTCAAATGTTTGAACTGAGCTAGACTAACAGTTTCTCTTCTACCTTAACTTAAATTGCATAAGGCCTAGAGTGGGCAAAAATGCTCCTGAGTCACATTTACCACTTTTTCCTATCAAAAGAAAATTTGAAGAAACCCCTTCTTTACAGTGGCACCATTTATTATAAACATGTATGAAATGATGTTTATCATACTTAATCTGATACATTTGGCAGTGTTTTCATGTTCTCTAGGATGCCTATAGATTTATTGTAAATATTAAGATACCTCTAAATCATATGTATTCATATTGTCATATTGTTTGATGATTCTTCTGAACAATCCCTCCAGATTAAATCTTAATGACAGTTATGTCTAGGAATTTCTATTAAGATGGTCAAATTACATTACCACAATATTTCTACGTCATGTTGTTTAAATGTATGCTTACACATGATTGATACCAATATATGGTTCTTGATGACGATCAATTTTATTGTATGGCTGTACTACATGCACTTGTAATAAGATTTTTTTTAGCTTAACTCTGCAGCCAAAACCTTTTTATTGTGCGTCAGGATAGAATCAGTCAATGTCATTAGATAACAGATGTTATATGCTTGCCTTCAATTTTTCTTTGGACATGCAATGAAGCACAAAATTTTGAGGCAACATGAACCTAAAAGATTATCAACCAAATTTACCAAATTTTATGCAAGGGTTATTTTCACCTTAATTTATCAAAATTACATCAATATTATTTGTCAATGCTGCTATTAAATTAAGAGTTGTGCCCCTTTTCAGTGAAATTATTATCAGTAGAAAACGAAATGATGAGTGACGGAGATTTACAGAGATTAAAAAAATCCTACATTAACAGTAATCGATCTCTGTTATAGGTTTGTAAGCTGTTTTTGGTACTTTATTGATAAAACAAAAGACTTGAGTTGGCTTCTGACAGCATTTTCACAAAGGTCATACCTTCTTTGGACTTGAAGCGGCAAAATCTTTTATACAAACTTAATAAATAATAACAAAAAACTTACACTGAGGCCACACCAACGATCCATCTGGTAAACAGGTTGGAACAGGTAGAACAGCATTGTCCAACAAGTTAATAAACACCAGGCAGTTTTCTGCATCATTAAAGCTACACAGTCCAACTCCAAATGTTGCCAGAGTTGCATTAGTTCCTTTGAAAATTTTGTATCTACATAAATAATAAAGGAGAAAAGTGAGATTAGAAATATAGTTTTGAAAAATGAGAAGTGAAATTCATGGCACTGTTTGAAACTAAGGCTAGTCCAGTATAATGATCAAGGTTAGTACATTTGCCAGGACTTTTGTACTAAACAAGTAAAATTTTACTTTCAGCTCTACTGAGCAAAAAGCTCACTTGAGCTTTTCCGTTCACATTTTGCCTGGCAACCATATATTTTTCTAAAAGAACTCAGGTTATTTTCAAACAAACTTACTAGAAACCTTGGATGAAGGGAATTCAAGTTTGTTTAAATGAATGACCAACCTAGTGCCAAGGGTAGATTATCATGAATTAGTGAAAAATAAATGTCATCTTTTAAAGATCTTCTCATGAAACATTGGGCGGAAAAACAAACATTTGGAAACATCCTCAGGTAGTAAAAATTTACCGTTTACCGGGAAATATTTCCACGTTTTTCCCCTTTTACCATACTCAAGTTCGTGAATTCAAGGAACACATATAATTTCTGTAAAGTAACTGTATCCCAGGAAATTTTAAATGGGGCAAAAATTATCTTGTATACATTTTTCAAATCAAGACCCTGGGATAGGGTGAGTCAACATTTAATGAGCTATCAGTATTACACAAGAATGTCTTCTCAGACCAAAGCTTTAAATAAAATGATGTGGTCCAAGGTTTCTTTTAAGAAAAAAAAGATCTAAAATTCAAATCATGCTTACCTGATGATCAACTCTACTCCTCCCAGCAAATCCAGTTTGTTTCCTGAATTCAATTCTCCTTCAAATCCTAATTAAAATCACGACAATCGATACTAAATTCTCATGTTCGTTAACTTTTAAAGCTAAATGCATTCAATTGTTATAAAATATTATCATACAATTACCATCATAACTGATATCTGTTGGAATCTCAATTTTGTATGTGTATGAATCTATTCCAAGATTAAACAACATTCGGGGGGAAGCACATGGATCAAAGCGTGCCCACACTTTGAAAACTTTTAGAAATATGGCAAACTTCATGTTGACACAACATTCCAGTCCTAAACACATGCTATCAAAGGTGCAGTAGACATTATGTTTTGGCATGGTGAAGGTCATCAATGGACATCCTATGAAGTATAATACCTGTTATATAAAATATCAGCAGAGAGAAAATTGACTGGTGAAAGTAATATGATATTAACTTAGAAATACACATATTGACACCTTTGTCTAATTTTACTAGTCTTTCAATCAGCTGTGCTCTTGATCCCTTTGTGTCTTTGCCTCTTTCAAGTAGTTCATTCACAAGCTGGTCTTCAGTCATTTCATAAGGATTTCTACATGTTGTATTGTCTATGATATCCTATATGTCAAACAGAAGTACAGGGTTATACTTGTTTATGTATGAGTGTTGTCCGGTAAAATCGTGGACAAGTTTTCTAGTTTGAAAAATAATCACTACGACGTTCTGAAAATTTTACTAATCTTTAGTACATATTTTTTATGAATAAACACAATAAACACAGCAAATTTCAGATAGTTATATGCATAAATAAACAAATTATGAGATTTTTGTTATGTATTGTTTCGCTTTACGGCGTATGGATGATAACGTCTAAGTGTCTAAAACAACATCGCGTTTCATAAAGCGTTTGCTAAAAATAAAGTTGGATGAGTCCCTCTATAATTTAGGAATTTCTGTGTGCACGTACTCGGTTCTCCAGACACGGTTGAGGAACCAATCTGGCACACTCTTGCGATCTTTTGAAGATTTATTAGAAAGTTACGGACAAAATTCTCACTATCAATCAAAATATCCAAATGCGTTGAAAATTTAAAAAAGACGACAAAATAGATCATGAAATTGTATGAGCATAATTTTTACCCCAATCTTATCTATTTAAAACTTTTATTTTCAATTAATACTCGTGTATTCTTTGATAAAATCTTGATTTTTTTACCTTGCGCCGTAGGGCCGTACACTGTGCATATTCAAGCTTAAAACATCTTTGTTTTTGTGTTTTTATCAATCAAATTATGAAGCACTTAAATATGATAAATAAACATTTACTTAAAATTTTAGCTTTATGCGCCCATATGTTTTTTTTTTTTAGAAAAACGCTTTGTCCACGATTTTACCGGACAACCCTAGTACACTGTTGAAAAGTTTGTATTCTGTATGCATTAATGAAGCCTAAATGGATTCAGGGTTTGATAAATATATAGTTACTGTGCTCCATAAGCCAGAGTTGTGTTTACAGTAGATTAAAGACATCTCTTCAAAAATGCTAAATTTTGTCATTATAACAACCACAAAATTCACAAAATGCTAACTTTAAACAGAAAAATCAATCCCAACAGTAAATTAATTCCTCTGAACAAAATTATTCATCAGATATGAACATTCTCAGCATAGACAAGCTAGATCCATGGGACTAGTTAACTTTTCAACAGATAGAAGTATGCATGTCTAATAACGTAAGATTTTATCCTTCAATTTTCTTTGGTAATGCAGTATTAACTTCTGAAAATTTAATCCATAAATTGTGCATTTTTCAAGCAATTTTCCACACATATTATTTGTTGTAGAGTCTAAAAATAACTTGTTTTAAAACTTTAAAAACTCAAATCATTTCATCATCAAGGGGAAAATAGCAGCATACCTTTATCCCCCTCATAACTCTTGCCATAGCATCCTTGCTTTTTGTCATTCCAAATCTTTCAAGAAATTCCAAGATTGTGCCAAATTTCAGACGTCTGATTTTGAATTTCTTCAAAAATTTGTCCGCTGTCTTCAAAAGTGTTGTAAAAATCCCTGAAACAGTCATTTTCCTCTAAATTTCTTTAATCAAAGATTTCCAACAAAGAGTTTAAAGCTTCAGAAGTATATAAAGTAAAACTTCCAATCTGGTTCCAGAGAATTTGACTGGGTTAGACAAGTGAATTCATTCTACATGTTGTTGACATGGGTTTGCTGGGGGCACCTATGGTATATCAATCAATAAGTTTATTACCTTTAAGATGTTAAAAGTACCTTTTATAGGGAAAATGGATCTTTTTACATTGAGGGTACCAGTGTTCATAATGGCAGCACACTGATGATCATCTTCAACAAACTCTAAATCTGGGGCCTTGGGAATGTTTATGCGTGATTGCACTTTGTAGAAAAAACCACCTGGTTCATCTGAATAATGTAACAATTAAATATCAAAATATGAAAGTGATAATATTTCAAAATAAAAAAAACAAGAAACAGTGTCTTGACTCTTAAACCCTTAGTATGGTGCTTAAGGCCCAATGGGGCGGGGGATTCATCATGCCATCTTCCAACATGGCAGTGAACATTAAGTCAATGGCTCATACAGCCCAGCAAAATTATTTTAAAGCACTTTTTAATTTCATTTTCAAGTCCCTTTAAAACACTTTCAAACATTACAATCATGCAGATTAGGAAAAAAATACAAAAATATGGAGTTTTTTTCTTAATTGATGCAATAGCACTTTATCAAATTAGCATCGAAGATTTGAGCATTTAACATGCAAATTTAAACACTTTCTACTACTTTTGAATTTTCAAGAACTTTGAAGGACTGAGTCAAAAATCAAGCAATTTTCATGGACGGTATGAATCCTGTAGCCATCAATTTGTTAACAAAACATTTAAGACTGAAGTCTTTTTTTCTGGGAATTATCATAGGCGCTCCCCATGTATTTCTGTAAATGGCGTATGATAAGTATAGGTGTACCCCTCTATACTATAAAATAACCGGTTATTTTATAGTATAGAGGGGTAGACCTACATGTATATATATATATATATATATATATATATATATATATATATATATATATATATATATATATATATATATATATCATACGTCATTTACAGAATTACATGGGGAGCACGTATGGGAATTACGTTTAGCAGGATTGATTTCACACACCTGACTTTTATACAAACACAAAAAAAGAAAGAAAAAAAGATTTTTTTTCTTTTTTTCTCGATCCATATCAATATTTTCATAATTTTTTTTCAGTTCAAAATGTATCAATTTCTGATATTATCACAATTAATAAAGTACAGCAAAACTCGGTTATAACGAAGTCGCTGGGACCTATGAAATTACTTCGTTTAATCCCGCTTCAGACAAATTTGTAGATTACTGATTTTTTATTTTACTTTATTTCCTCAAAATGACTGATTTTCGTTGATAATGCTGGAGATTCTCAAAATAAAGAAAAAAAATAGATGCAGATGCAAATGTAAACTATTTAACCACTCATCAGGCTCATGTGTTTCAATAGCATTAATAACAGTTTCTTGACCGGAAGTCCGAGAGTTACTACACTACGCCAAGTTAGAGAAAATTCGACCGCTGTATCTGAACAACAGGCAATTAAATATGCCCAAGAATATTTACTTCGCTCAGATCAAGACATTAACAAGAAAACATTGATGTAACCATCAATTGTCGCCCGGGAAATATATAAAGTGAACAATGAATTAAACGAGTATTGATCATCAAACCGCTTCTTCAATAGTGAAAAGGCATGCGTCTAATTGATGGAGACGATGGTAGCGAATATTTTGAAAACTTGCAGTCAGCTAAAAATCAATCAAAAACGATACCATTTTAAACTTGATGAATTCCTCAAGTAAATGTTGGCTGCATAAATATAAATTGAAGTTAGACACACGCATCACCTATATTTAAAAATGTATTCATTTTCAATTTTAGAATATAAAACACGAACTGTGCATAGTACGTTTTTATCCGAGAAGTAAAATTCGATGTTCTAAAAAAAGGGACCTGTCGTTTTTTCGAAAGTTAATGATAAGCAACTTTATATATCAAATATGAAAAGCATATATATTTTTACAGATTCACTTTAGGAAAGTAAATATATTATGTATCTCGTAATTTTTGAACGGAAAGGACATTCTGATTAACAATCTTTTCAATGTTTAGAAAACCTTTAATTATAAATAACTACTCCCACCCCAATCCCCATATACCAACACTTAAACTTATATGTATAGAGCAGCCCGGTCCTCCGGGCTGCAATAAACCTAATGCATGGTAGAAATCGGACTGCGTACATTTATGTTGTACATGGCGGACTAGGATGTTTTGATTAAATTGTCGGAAGGGGGAGTGTTTTATTTAAATGTTATCTGTTCAGAGGGATAAAAAACCAACTTTCGGTAATGGAATGAAAACCATTCAACCATTAAATAACTGATCTGGCAAAGTAAAAGATGTCCTATATTGTTTGGTACATAGTTATATCCCGTATATAATTTTTCACCCTAAAAGTAGAGTGTTGCGTTTTCATTGACGGTGAGTATATGAAAATCGGGATTCTGTTCGAAGCGAACGTTATTGTAAATAAAAATGGCGGCTAAGAAACGGTTTGCGTATGTAAATTTCTTGTCACTTGTTTAACAAGTTGAACTTGTTATGATATTTAACGTCGATTGTTATTGAACTAAAACTTGATGTATTCATAATAGACTTAAAGATTCTTTTTAATATTCAAAAAGGTCTTGAAACGGGATAAATTCGTAACACAGTCAGTCATACGGGGTGTGAAATGGAAATCCGTATTGGGACTCGGCTTCGCCTCGCCCAATATGGATTTCCATTTCACACCCTGTATGAATCCGTATTAGGTCCCTAACTGACTGTGTAGCTAATAATATCCGTACTTCGTTATAACCGTATAAGAAAGTCATTAATTTTATATAGCTGGGGATCCAAGATGACTTCGCTATATTCGCAAATTCGCAATATCCGTGTTCGTATTAACCGAGTTTTAATTTTTAGATAGCAAATTAACATAAGTACGAAATGGACAATTTTATGGCTGTCACATCTCTCTAGGTATGATAATCATGAACAGATGAGTGCAATCGAGATTAGGTTCAACCGAATATTGCTACTGTTACATAATTATAAATCAGTTACACTTTCATTTTCATAATTAAACAAATTCTTAAAAGTCAATATTAATACTTAATTCATATTTTGTTTCTTTATTCAGGAGTTGGACAAGTAAGCAATGAAATTGCACAAATACAATAAAACATGTTTGCTGTTGCTTTCTTTTGGGTAATTGGATATTTTACTCAATTTTAAAGCCTTATTATAAAACCTATATTTTGAGTTTGTTCCTAAATTAAATTTACTCAAAATAGTAGATTTTCTTGAAACTGTGCATTTACTGTCAGTGTACATTTTATTTGGTATATAGAATTTTTTTCATTATTGATCAGAAATTTATACACAAATATTAAATCAACTTTCTCTTTGATGTTTAAAATATTTCTGTCATTTGTGCAAGTAAAATCCAGAAAGGTCATAAACAAATGAAAAACATTATTAGGTCTATTTCTCCATATTTTTTTTTTAAAAGTTTGCAATAAAAAGGGGTCTGGCCATTCATTTTGAATAAAACTTGTTCCATTTATTCAAAATAATATTCATAATTATAAAGTTTAGTTGAGAATTGCTCTTTGTTTCACAAAAAGTTTCCAATTTCACACAATTGTAAATGACACTAGAAATATGTCAACCGACTATTAAACAGACATCTATACAGAACACCTTATTCTTTCAAATTCCCCGAAATATTGACATTCAAGAAATGCAAGTGAGGGTTGGAAGAGAATTGAATAATTCAGCTTACTTTTTATGTCTTTTGTATCATCTGGATCAAAGCTGTTATCAGAAAAATCTGGAATAGGGAAAGCCAGTTCTGTGTTGGAAAGAATGGGGTCTAGATTTTGCTCATCTTTTCCATTCAGACCAACTAAGCTTCCAGCTTTTAATGTAACATCCTGAATAATATATAGAAGATTCAATTACAAAAATATTATTCAAAAAGACAATAAACTATTTATATACTTTCCATCAAATATCTTTTCAAACACTGAACGTGTTGTCTCCCTTTTTCATTGAATATATAAATTAAAAAAAAAAAAAAAAAAAAAAAAAAAAATTTTAGCTTGATATGTTGATTATGGAAGCCTACGGAAGCCCATTTAGGACTTATCAAAAAATATTTTTGAATTCGTTATAACGATTTTTAAAATTCGTTATAACGAATTTAATTTGTTAAAACAGATTTATTGAATTCGTTATAACGAATTTCATTTGCTATAACAGATTCATTGAATTCGTTATAACGAATTTAATTCTTTATTACAGATTTATTGAATTCGTTATAACGATTACTTCTGTTATTACAGATTTATTGAATTCGTTATAACAAATTCAAGAATTTGTTTTAACAAATTTTTGAATTGCAGCCAGTGATCAGAAAAGCTCTCATGGACTTTCAGCTTAGGTGAGCTTAAAAGTACTTTGATGAACATAATTTCAAAAAGCTATACTGGAGTTTCTACTAATACATACGGAATCAAATACATATGGAGTCTCTATGTACATGTATATGCATTAAGCACATCATTCAAGTAACAAGAACAAATAACATGATTAAAATAAATACTAGTTAAAACTATTCTCATTTTAAATACCATAAACACAAGCTTGTAGTCATCACAAATTTGTTTCCATTGAGGCACTTCAGGAATGATGGAATCAAGATACTTGGTAGGGTCAATATAATCTCCATCCTTCTGAAAGGCTAGATGAATATGATTGGCACAATTTGATCCGGTTGCAATACCAATGGTTTGACCAGCTGCAAACTACAAACAAACATCCATGTTGTTAAGAACTGCACACTATCAATTGCAAGTATTTCATATTGCTTTTGTTTAAAATAACATTTAAAACTCCTTGATTTAACGTACCTATTTAACTGTGAATTTATAAAATTTTACTGTACAGAAGGAAGATTTACTCACTGTGTAATTAGATATCATCAACTTTGGAAAAATGTCTTTGTAACAATGATTTGAAAATAATTACCCATCTACCCTCTTCAGTTTCAATGGTGGATTCAGGTTTTATATTTGTTATGAAGATTGTAATCCCTTGAAGTGAACCTCCTTCAGGTTTAATGACTACTGTGTCAGTAGCCTCAGCATCAACAGTTATAAAACCACTAAATGGAGCTACAATCTGTGATATATTGTATTAAGAAAGGAAATTACAAATCTGTAAAAGTACACTTCTGTGTCATTAATTACGAAATATGTGTAAGTATGAGTCTAAAAGCTCATTTTAGCCGCAAAATCTTTAAACAAAGTGAATTCTGAAACAAGTTAAATGTTGTTCGCCATTTTTTAAAAGTTACACTAGGAACCACGTATCAGAAGATGCAAACTTAGTATTCCCTGTCAAATTAGTTTATTGAAAAAAGCTCATAGAAAACAAAAGTAAACATCAGTTCTATAAAAATGTTATTTGTAATGTATGTTTTTGTGATCTTGACCTTTGGGCCTCAAAATCAATACTAGGCCATAAGGAGGTGTGAATTGAAAGCTAAAAGGCTTTTCAAAAAATATCAATCTGAAAATGAAAGTGTAATACAGAGACAAAGTGTCTGAAATTATTATCCTGGCATTTGTCTTGTTTGAACTCAAGAATAATATGGGTTTCTTTAATCCATAGAAAGATGTTATTTTAAAATTAATTGGTAAAAAAAATTATGACCTTTTTCTTTCTGACCACAAAATAAAAAAAGGTATTTATTAGACCAGAAGGAATTGTTATAAAAGTATGAGATTTATTGCATGTTTTGCCAGATAAAACATTTGAATATTGCAAGGAATTTGAATTGTCTTATTGTGGTCCCATGTGGCCCAGGGGCCATGATTTACAACAAATCCTACTCCAGGAAGTGTATAAGTGGGCAACTCATTTCAGATAATAACCCCATTTGTATGTTAAGATTTCTTTAAATAAATTTGTTTTATGTTTTGGTTAACAAAGTTTGGAAAACTGAATATAATAAGATCATAGTATAGGTCCAAATCAAAACACTGAATATCACCAATATGTATTATCAGTAATAAAGATAAACATATCTTGCATTGATACTTTCTTTCAAGCCAAGTAAATGTATGTCACTCGTCAGTATTTCAGAAAAGTTCACGCAGATCCTCTGTTTCTAAACTATTTATTAAAATTCAAATTTAATAACATTTTTAAATTCAATAATGTTAATGTTTTAATATTCAACGAAAAAACAGCTCAAAAAGCTACAATTAAATAGAATTTTGTTAATGAGGGAATATTTCTTGTGGTGGAAGGATATTTAGCAGATAATTCTGCAAATCTGCACATTTATTAAATTTAATATCTTGGAACTTTAGCCTCAAATACTTTTACTCGGAGAATATTTTCCGTTATGATATTGCTAGGAATATTTGATATAGATCTAAATTTATATTTTTAGAACAAGTTTTACACCTTCTTTCAACAAATTTTGCCCAAAAATAAAGATATGTCAAATAAGTCTTGATAAAATTTATACAATATCTTGCCTGAAATTCACATATTTTGACAAATACTTCAAAATTAACATCACTGACACCAACTTTTTCTTTCATTATTTTAAAGTACTCGATACTTGTGACTGATCAGCAATATAATTTACGCGCATTAATTTCCAAGATTTGTTCAGTGATAAATATTATTCAAACTATTTTATGTAAAATAAAATTAGATTTATTTGCCATGGTTACATCTGATAAGATATGATAAAGTTTAAAGTAATTTACCAAAGAGTTAAAGTTAAAGTGCAAAAAGGTCAACTTAATTATACCGTAGATCAGTAAGATGCATACTGACCCCCTATTTTCTCTGCGATTTTGAGTCATACTTTATGAGTACTTATCCAAAATATACTTCTCAAAAAATCCTTGATTTAACAAATTTCACGAGTGACATACCTAAATGCAATTTATAAAAAAAAAATCAAAGGGAAGATCAAGGTCATTTTTATGCAGTTGTATAGAATTCTACTCATATGTAACAACAAAAGAAATTTGATGAAATATCTTGAATAGTTTATTTAGAAAAGAGTTTTCAAATGTTTGATACATGCAGATGGGCAAACGGAAGGACAGAGGGACAGAAGACATGCATGCCCTGGCCATATTCATAGTAAGGCATAATATTTACCGGATCTCTTTCTTCTATTAATAAATCAAGTCCTTTATGCTTGTAATCTGTTTGGGAAGGATATAATCCACTTCCACATCCATATCCCTTCAAGCGCCGGTTTTTGGGGAAACTTGTATGCACTTTAGGTCCAAATAAGGCATCAATTATTCCTCTTGCTGTGTCATAACTAAATTATAATCAATAGTTAATTATTTTTTTTATTTTACTGAATACTGTAGACATACTTTTTTTTCCAAGTTGATGTTTATATTCACGCTAACTTTGCAGTCTGCGCAATTCATCCTCATGGACTTTTTAGTCCATGAGGATGAATTGTTCAATTATTTAGTCGGTATACATAGCATGTCAGAAAGCAATTAAATCAAAATTTGTTAACAAATGTGATGTCTACCTATTGTCATTGCCTCGTAGCTGTGCTACAAAAACACAAGCGGGTAGTTCAAACGATAATACAATCATTACTATGTCCATGCAATATCTGCTTTTAATAAAAAAAAATTAGTAATGGAGGATATGGAGATAATGAACAGTATTCAATCTCAAAGTTCATAAAACGATACAAAATAAGAGCAGAGCAAACACGGACCTCCGAAGCAATAGAGATGGCATCAGGTGCCATGGAGGAGTAAGCATCCCCTGCTGACCAGTCACAGCCGCGTGTGCTCCTTGTCGTGATCAGGAAATAACGGAAAAATCCGTCGTCAACTCAGTGTACAAATAATGGACTAACAATTAGTATAAAAAACGTCAGTCAGCATTTGACTCAATGATAAATTGTATTTGCTGACAAGGTCATTGAATCGATCATAGACCTTACGAAATGATAACTTTAAACGAGACGGCTGATATTCTTGTTTCTTCAACTTGCTTGTAAATAATTTACCTCGTTTTAGAAATTGTTCAAACGTAGAGCAAGCTCTTGCGTATCGAATCAACTGAGATATATACAGTCCGTATGCAGGTGATGAAGGTATTTTGCTGCATAAGTAAGGTAAGTTGACGATAGAAAAGTTAAAGTCATCAGGTTTATCATATAGCTTGGTTGTTAGATTACCAGTAATGTCTTTTTCAAGTAAATTATCCACGTATGAAACAGATATGTCAGACTCTGTGGTATCTTTTATCTCAAGCTCACCAGGATGTATAGTATCGACGTAGGAATGGAAATTACCATTGTTAATTGACAATACTTCGTCGATGTATCTAAATGTCGAGTTGAAGGCCACAGCAAGTGATTTCTTCTTTTCACGCATAAGATTTTACAAAAATTCTGCTTCATATGAATATAAAAATAGGTCCGCTAACAATGGAGCGCAATTGGTACCCATGGGAATTCCAATAGATTGTTGGAAAACCACATAGATATTGTCAATCAGAAACTCAAGCATCTCTTTGATGTCAACTTCAGAGTACTTGTGTGTGCAATCAGAATGTGCTTTAACAAAATAATTTTGCAAATGACCAATGACCAGGTAAGTAAATTAATATTATATTGTTTGAAAACAGTACACACTAGAAAAAATTTGAATGAATGTTAAATATCATCTAAACTGATGAAAGTACTTTCCATGAACTTTATTTAAGGTAGTTCATTAAAGTACTTTTAGAAGAAAGCAGTTAACAATATGGTTGCAATTGGCAGTTGTAAAACTTCATTTTAACTTGAGGCATCACTGGTTGTACATTTTACAGTTTTAGATGCTATAATTCAGCAGTATTTTGTACTTCGAACTTAAGAGAAAATAAAAATGCGCTGAAATATGACCGTGTAGAAATAATATATGTCTACAACACTCATAAGAGGATAATATTCTTATTTTAAAAAACAACCTGGAAAATTCATATAAAAATGATATTAATTTTTTTCAATTATACTAAAAAAGAAAAGAATTCGGTAAGTACCCATTCTTCAGAGTGGTATATGCATCTTTGATGTCGTGAACCAGTCCAAAAAGGTTCTTATACTGCCTAACAAAGTTATCAGCCAATCCTATTAAATCATTGAAAGGGTTCATCAGCGTTGCTTGAATACTTTCTAGTGTATGAACTGCCTCTTGTTTCACATCTTTCTGTAATTATACATTGTGAAAACATTCATTTTACTAGAATAGACTCCAAATGCAAACACAGATGTATCAGATCTCAGAAACACTGTAAATACGTTTTCAAGGAAAACATAGCTAGAAAATTTCAACAGACTGATAACCACACATGGCAACAAAATATGGCATATACTTTACAAGAGGCCCATGAGTCACATCACAACTTGAGCACTTTGGTTAAGGAAAAGTAGAATAATTCATTTTTGAAAAGTTTTAACTAACAGGATCCCCCGGTATTCATGATATAAGCAAACTTGAATGAATACTAACTGAGGATACTTTTCTACTAATGTTTCTAATCATGGCTTCGGGAAAAATATAAGATTTTGTTCTTTATATTTCTAAGTAAAAACTTGGATTTTCTATTGTGGCTACATCCCACCCTTCTTGTAAATATTTGAACAAACTTGAACTTTTACACTGTGTAGAACACAGCACGTTCAAGGTAACTAATGCATTAAAAAGTGTAAAATTAATAACAGGTATATTATTTTCCGATGGAGAAACACTAGTACTGCTATCCATATTTCACTGAAAGATTATTAATGACCCGTAGATATGAAATTTTTCAAAGTTATTTATTTTTGGCAAGTTTAAGGCAACATATACAATAATTGAAAGGGCCCTTTGATAAAAAAAAATGCCGCAAGTGTATGTAAGCTATTGTATTGTAAGTTAGCTCACAGTACCTCTAGTTTGATTAAATTTAAATCTACACTACCGAAGGGTGTTCCTGTATTAAATTGCCTAATAAGGCCTTACCCAATCAAAATTTTCTTGTTCTTGAGAAGAATTTTAAAAAAGGATTTTCCTTAAGGTCTTTCCACCCTCACAATATTAATGGTTCAAAGTATGAAAACTGCATTTATTTTCATTGAATATAGCTTAAATTTACAGATTACTGCAAAAAATATATAGGTCGGCATATTATTTAAGATGGAAATCATATATTAACAGATGTATATGACAACATAAAGAAAATCGTACATTTTTTGTAAACAGTATTATAAAAATTAGGTCAAACCTGTTTCAAATGCATATTTTTTATGTTAAAAGTTCCTAAATACTTGCTACTTATAAGATAATTTTGAATTGTGAAAATCAGGGATATTTCGTAATTTACATTAGAAGTACAATAAGCAAAATTTGAATGAAGATACCTGAGATGGAGTAATTGCCCTTGTAAACATTTTTATAAGATTAAATAATTGTTGAAATGAATAAAATATACAATTTTGAAATTCTTCTACTTAACAATATTTATTATTACACCTATTGAAAAACATTCTTCCAGAAGACATTGTTCTATTGGGTACGTATGAATTTAAATTACTAACAGTTTTTTCCAAAACCTATGACATAGGAGGATGGAATTACCTTAATGTATTCCTATGCATAACTTTGATAGCCCATTGTGGCCCAGGGTAATGATTGGAACAAAACTTCGATTTACACAACCTGAGAGCAGACCCAAGAAAGTTTTAAACTTATTTGGCTCATTGGTTCTATAGAGGAACATTTTTAAAGTCGCTTTTAATTTTTCACTAACTCTTGATTATCTCCCCTTGGAAGGAGGCGTGGCCTTTTGAACAAATTTGAATCCCCTTAAGATATGCTTGAAAAAGGCCCAGTGGTTCTTGAGAATAAGACAAAATGTGAAAAGTTTACACACAGACAGATGCGACCTTTCGTATGGTTCACACAATGCATGCAAAAGAACATTCATTTGGAGGAGTATGAATCACTCTGATCCAATGACAGACAAAATATACTCTTAGGATTTTAAACAAAGATCAGTTTGATCTTTTCTGAATTTTGACGTTTGATCTAGAAATACTGATTCAGCTGGTTTAAGCCCGAGGCACTCTAATGCTTATAAGACAGAAAAAAATATATTCCAGATCTAGACAAGCAATATTTCATGGACAGTTTGACAAAGAAACCGGTGGGAAAGCGTATATTATAATGAGGCAGGTTAAATGACATGTGAGTCAATGATGTCGTTTTATAAGTTTAACTATAATGGGAAAACTAACCAGTGTCATTCTGCCATTTGTAAATGTTTTAACCCTATCTTGCGAATCTTCTATATCCTCACTGATCCATCTGTCTCCAGCACTTTTTAAACTGGAAAATACTTTATCAGCCAAAGGCTTGTATTCATTCAGCAACGTTTGAATATCAAACCAATAAGGCTTATCATCTAAAAAAAACAAGATCAGTTTTTAAATTAGCACTTAAACCGATAAGGTTTTTCATCTAAAAAAAGAGAACAAAACAAGACCACTATTTAAAAGTACAAGTGTTAAAAGTAGAAAACAATTATTATTAGCACTCCCGGAAACTGACATGTATTCTTTGATATGCAATATTTTCAACCTTGTACCACAATACTTTTCAGTTACTATTTCTTATTCTATCCATATACACTGTACAACAAGCTTGAGTTACTATATATATATATATATATATATATATATATATATATATATATATATATATATATATATATTATTTTTCTTTGATTATTCTTTATCAAGTATAGTTACGCCATTTTGAGAGAATGAAACAATGTACGATTTCCTGATTGTCGTAATTTATTAGCATAATTAATTCGTTCAATTATGTAAATCGCACTTCACCCGAGTATACCCGATAGACCGGACGTATTTCATAGCGGTCCGAATTTCTTTCTTTAATAGTGTTCTTATAAATTTCCAATTCAACATGTAACTTGTAAATATATAGAATACGGGTCACGGGTCTTTGGGATATTACTTTAAAAACGTAGGTTCCGTGTCACGGTTGGCGTTGGCACGATAAAGAACCCTCACTGCTCAATGGCTCTGAGTGCCGAGTATAGGTCTAAATTTGAAGCCCTTCACCGGCAAACGGTGACATAAGAGTGAAAAATTCTCGAGGGGGACTTAAACAATAAACAATCAATCAATAAATAAATGCAGGAGAGATTAAAGCTTGGAATGGCTAAAACTTATACATTACCTCTAAGGAAAAAACAAGCCTCTTCTATTTTCTGCTTTTGTTGCAATAAAATCATAAAGGCCTGATAAATTCTACACAGAATAGAAATATAATACAAAATGAATGTATGCATATTTGAAATATTTTAGATGTTTTCCCTAATATATTCAAGAAATAATGTGCACAAAATGCATATTTTACTGTTCAAGATATCAAAATCATATTTTTCAAATAAAATAGCCCAAATGACCTCAACAAGGTGAAGTTTCTCTTCATTTACTTCAAATCAATTTAAGTTTTTTCAAGTCAGCTTAAATGATGCAAAATGTCCTCCCTCTTCATAAAACTTACGAAAATACTCCTTTTCCAATGCTTGTAATTGCTGCTTTTGGGTTTAACACTATCTTTGGGAATCCTTCAATAATATCTCTTATGCTCTCATACATGACTTTGGCTTGATGAGGGATAAGAACTTTAATAGTCTGTTCTACTGCCTGAAAAAGATACGTTAAATGCTTTTTCTAAAATTATACAGCTTATGTACATCATGTAAATTAGAACTTGATTTAGTTTGGTTTTACAATGACTAAAACATATTCACAGTCATTCATTACATGTACTCACCTATAAGTCGGTCCGCCTATGTCGGTTGTATTTTTTACTAGGTTAATTTGGAGGGATTTGCCATTGACCCGCTTATAAGTCGGTGCAACTTTTAACCAGACTCGTTTGACATTTTAAATCAATGCACTGAGGTTTACAGCTTGTTTACATTAATATTTTTCGAAATAACGCCAATATTTAATTTTACATCATTAAACAAGTAAGGAATGCACACTGAAGATAAAAACTATAAAAGTAGGTAAATACTTGTCCTTAATGTATAATCTTCGAATGCATAAATGATTATACGCAAATTGACTTTGTTCTTCATTAATTGTCGGAAATATATATAAAATGCTACATTTCACTGTCAAGAAAAATACCAATCTCTTTATGACTCGCCTGTAAGTCGGGCATAGAGTTTTGGATCAAACTTTAACTCCCCAAAAACCGAATTATAGACAAGTATATACAATAAAACAGAAACTTACATTTACAAATCCCATCACATGGGTTTTTATATCACCAAACAATTTTGAGACTTTATGCACAAAATTGATTGTAGGTGCAAATTCTGAGGGCAAGTCTTCAGGGTCATAGCGACCAATTAAAGCCAGAGCTTTCGTAGAATTGTCAATCAAGTATGCCACCTGTACAATTAAAGAAACACGAAAGATTAGAATAAAGGCACAAATGTATCATCTTAATCAGAGAATTGTCAAATGAAAGTACTCAATGTTCCTTTGAATCATTGATTTCGGTTAAATTTTTGTCTAATTGTTCTACAAAGGTAAAATGCTTTAGTAAGTAATTTTATTTTTAAAAAGGAATTACATATTTCTATGTAAATCTTTGATCACAATTTGTGGTCCCACCATACTAAGGGGATCATGATTTTTTCTATATATTTGCAAAATTTAACAAACTTTAATATTGGTATTAACTTGAACATTTGGTGATTGGGCTTTCATTGTATATTCCTTGTGATAAGAAATTTTCATGGGTACAAAATACTTTTGACCTTTAGATCATTGAGTATGCTATAGACTTTTAAACATTTTAACAGTCAGTACTAGGGATTTATGTTTCACAGGTCAATTCTCTTTGACAAGACCTTCCCTTGGATATCACAATTTTGACATTTTCACCTTGGCCTTGTATTTTAACCAATTCTTGAAAAACCTTTGCTCATACCCTTTGAACAATAGATGCCAGGGCTTTCAAATTTACAAGTGTATTTCTTGTGACAACCTTTCCTTGGCTGTATCCATTTGGATCCTTCGATATTGCCCTTTGTGGTTGACCTACTTTTGAAAACCTTTATATTTTGCATTAACTTTAAAGTGATTGGTGCCAGGCCTTTTTTATTTCACGTTTTTCCTTATGATGAGACTTTTTGTGGTACCAATATTCTTTATCTCTTGACCTTGAACTTCCAATTGCAGTCGAAAAACTTCAACCTTTGCATGAGCTGCTATATGGGGGAATCGGTGTTTTACAAACACAAATTGTTTTTTTTTTTTTAAATTTTTGGCTATAAAGAATTATGTTAGACTAATAAAAATGTCCAATCCACAAGCCCAATTGGCTAGTGTCTCAGAAAAGTTTTGTGAACACTATTATGATCAAGTAATCATGCATTTTATTACTTTTGCATTATTATCATTATACAAAATTTATAGAGCGCTTTATATAATAAACGCAATTACTCTAAAGCGCTGTACAACATAGTTCAAAACTAACTTGCCTTTTTTGGAATAATTGTAATGGCAGTAACTAAATCATCAACTATTTTCTTTATGCTGAGCTTGTTAGATATCAAATCCTTGAACAGCTCTACACCTGCTCTAATGCCCTTTACAATTTTTCCCAGCTTCTTTGAAAAATTTAGAGCCAAGTCGATAATTTTTTTCATTTCATTTCCCTGAAAATTAATTAATTTTTCAATTAAATTACAAATTATATATATATATATATCTTTCTTCTACAAAATATTTATTATTTAATATACACACACAAAATAACTAATTAAAATATGAATTGTTATTAATATCTTTGATTATTGTATTTCAAAGTAGACTGTCTTTGGAGACCAAATCAAAAGGCTGTCCCTAAGACCGGGGTAGAGGAAGGTGTTAGATTTCCCTGGTAGAGGAGGAATCCCAAAGTTTTAAATGTTCCCTACTATTTTAATTACTAGGTACAATCTTGTTATCAATGTTCAGACTAAAACTCTCTCTTTGCAAGATTACCCTTTAGAAAATTATCATAAAAGAACTCAATTTTAAACATTTTTATGTACAGAAAGCTAAAGAATAGATGACGCTCCAATATTTTGTGTTAATGTTTGCCACCAAAATTTCTTGTAGAATTTTTTTGGCCGAATTTCTTTAAGATCATGCAGTCTTTGCCGTGTTCAAACTGCAGCAACCTATTTTTCTAATTAAGAAAACGTTCGATATAGAGCTGTTTATATGAGTACAAGGCTAGAGGAACAAATAAAGGTCAAAAAATTAATTTTACGTGTACATGAAAAATGACAATGCAATATGTTCAGTTGCTTTGGAGTGTTTTTTAAGATTCAATTGATCTATTTCTCTTTCATAATTATAAAATGTAAATTGCACACAAAAAGGTTTTATTACCTGGAATATATTGAAGTTATATTCAAAGTCGCCTTTAAAACAAACTCTAGCAACAAAGAAATCAAAATTATATCCAAACATTCCAACATGTACTCTGGCATATGCCTCATCATGAACACGGACCTTCAGATGACCTTGGATTGGAGCTAAAAAAAAAACAAGAACTGTCATATTCCGACTAACACCCCTGCTGTGTAATTGCTGGGTAGCTAAAGAGATAGTGTAGCTTAATATTATTTCCAATAGACTCTCCCCATCTGCTAAAACAATGAACTGTAAATTTGTATGTTCAGTTTTTGTCAAGATGTAACTGGTTGATGTTAGAAACAACTTGGATTGTGGGCAACATTTGTGTTGAGTACAAAATATATGACTAAACATGAACGTAATTTCTTAATCCTGTGATCATGATATTGTCCAAAATAACCTTTGCAAAGGGTCAAGACAAACCTCCATGCAAGTTTACTTTAGGTAGGACTTATCTAGTTTTTAGCTCACCTGAGCCGAAGGCTCAAGTGAGCTTTTCTGAACACATTTTGTCCGGCGTCCGTCTGTCTGTCTGTCCGCCTGTCTGTAAACTTTTAACATTTTCGACTTCTTCTCAAGAACCGCTGGGCCAATTTCAACCAAACTCGCTATAAAGTATTCTTGGGTAAAGGGGATTCAAGTTTGTCCAAATGAAGGGTCATGCCCTTTTCCAAGGGGAGATAATTATGAATTAGAGAAAAATTAATGGGATTTTTAAAAAATCTTCTTCTCAAGAACCACTGGGCCAGGATAGATGAAACTCATGTGGAATTAACCTCAGATAGTATTGATTCAAGTTTGTTCAAATCATGACCCCCGGGGCTAGGGTGGAGCCAAAATGGCCGATCAAGGTTTTCATAAGATTGTATAGGTAAAATCATTAAAAATCTTTTTAAGAACCACTGGGCCTGGAAAGATGAAACTCATGTCGAATTATCCTTAGGTAGTGTAGATTCAAATTTATTCAAATCATGACCCCCGGGGGTAGGGTGGGGCCAAAATGGCCAATCAAAATTTTACATAGGAATATATTGGAAAAATCTTTTAAAATCTTCTACTCAAGAACCACTGGGCCAGGAAAGATGAAACTCATGTGGAATCATCCTTAGGTAGTGTAGATTCAAGTTTGTTCAAATCATGACACCCGGGGCTAGGGTGGGGCCAAAATTGCCGATCAAAATTTTACATAGGAATATATAGGAAAAATCTTTAAAAATCTTCTTCTCAAGAACCACTGGGTCAGGAAAGATAAAACTCATGTGGAATCATCCTCAGATAGTGTAGAGTCAAGTTTGTTCAAATCATGACCCCTGGGAATAGGGTGGGGCCAAAATGTCCAATCAAAGTTTTACATAAGAATATTTAGGAAAAATCTTTAAACATCTTTCAATTTAAAAATGGCCATTAAAGGTGATACTCATGTGAAATTATCCTCAGGTAGTGTAGATTCGAGTTTGTTCAAATCATGACCTCCAAGGGTAGGGTGGGGCCAAAATGGCCGATCAAAGTTTTACATAGGAATATATAGGGAAAGCTTATAAAATCCTGTTTTCAAGTACTTCAAATCCATGCTCAGTTATATTTTTATGGAATCATTCTCAGGTAGTGTAGATTCTAGTTTGTTCAAATCATGATCCCTTGGGGGTTAAAATTTAAGCCCCCCCCCCCAAGTACTGATCTGATATGTGCTTTTTCCTAGCCAATTGCTCAGGTGAGCGATGTGGCCCATGGGCCTCTTGTTTGGTCTTGGACCTGCTCCAGAAACTTCTACCTGTTCACTCATCTAGAAAATATATGTCAAATTCCCATATCTAAAGGAACTCGAGCATCAATGAAGTGCAAAATTAGTAAGCATAGGGTTTAAATTGTCTTTAAGAATGATTGTTCCAAAAACTTTAACTTAGTTATTCATCAGGAAAATGTAGGTTAAATTAAGCATTTGAAGCAAGAACAGTAGTGTGCATCCTTAGATATATCGCCCATAAAGGTTTAGTCCAGGTACTGTAGGCGAGTTATCATAAAGAATGAACTTGGTCCAAAAACTTGAGTCTATGGTCAATCATCAGGAAAATGTAGGTCAGATCTAGCATCCATAGAAAGTTTGGTAATGAGCATCTTTAGGAGTATCATTTGTGGTTTTTAACTTTTGCATATCTGAATCTTCATGGTGTTAATTTCTAAAACAGAAGTAAGCATTTTTATTTTTGCATACCTATAGCTACATCCAATGAATTGAACATGATTACTCCAAATGATGCACCAATATCTGATGTACCAAGTTCTTTTCTCCAGTCCACTTCTGGAACTTCCAGTCTAAAACTAATTCCATCCCACACACTTCTGCGAGTTCGCTGGGGACCAGTTGTAAGATCTATTACATCCACACCTGCATTATATGGATCATCCAGACTTGTTGTGTTGTCGAACTTGGTCTCTTCCCTGAAAAAAGTCTTTGCTTTCAAATTTATCAAATTAACAAAATAAGTAAATAAAAGAACCACTACATCTTCTTCTCTTTCAGATTTAGATAAATTGCTATTACACCAGCGTTGCCTTACCCTTTTTTATCCTATTAAATATCAACAATTAATAGTCAATGCTAATTCAAGCTAATATTGCCACTGCCAGATTTAAAGTAAGGCTTTTGTTTTTAAGGATATTACAAATCTAAGTTGAACACTTTGCAAATCTCAAGGCATTTTTTGCATTAAAAAGTTTAGTTGTGCATGTTGAATGAGGTGGTATATTTTAAGAAATGGTCAATGTTGATGTTACAAATAGCAATTGCTCAGCTGGCGTATTTCATGTTCACGCTCTGTAGCATATAAACTATGCCTGCATAAGAAAATAGTTTTTTTTTTATCATTACATATCACTGAATAATTTTGTTTTCTACTTACATTTGCAATTCATGATATGCCAAGAAAGATAAAGGAAGTGCTGAGATTTGTGAATGTCTGTCGCTATTTAGTACGTCTAGTACTGTTGCCCATTTTTTGTCTTTTCTTTTTGAATAAATATTCAATGATTAGTTTTTTAGGTGACTTGAAAATTATCACGATGGTTAAATATACCTGGCATTTATTGGAGCAATCACCTTTCCCTTGGGATGAGCCATAAAGAGAAGAGATGCTTCGTATCGTACTGCCTGATCCTCATCATTCAAAGCTAAATGCAATAGGGTCTCAGCAGCCTTGAAGTAAAAAAAATTATTTACTGAATAAAATTCAATGTAAGTACTGGACAAGAATTATATGACTGAAAAACAAGAGACCAACTACCATAACCATTAATGCTACTTTTTTAGTGTTAGTAGTTTTTATTTGACATTTAAATGAAAATCAATGTGTAGGTATGAGTTGGTCTGAAAATGAAGAAGGACAATGAGCTACAGTGCCCTTCATTGAAAAAATAGTAGATTTATCAAGCTATGATTTAACTTTCTATAAAAGAAAAAAAATTAAGATTCATTTCTTATCATTTATTATTTATCTTTTACTGATGAAATTCAGCAAGAAAATCAGTACTATTCCTGAGAAGAAAAATGTTACGTATTTTCTTACGTATTCCTTGTAAAACTTTGCCCATTGTAGCCCGACCCTACCCCTAAGGGTCATAATTTTAACAAAGTTAAATCACACAAGTTGCATATTTTCAAGCACAGTGGTTCTTGAGTTGAAGATTTTAAATGCTCCCATGTTTTTCATAAATCATAATTATCTCCCCCTTGGAAAAAGGTATGGCCCATCCCTTAAACAAATTTGAATCCCCTTTACCCTATAGTGCAGGTGTGGCAAGTTTGTTTGAAGTTGGGTCAGTGGTTCTTGAGAGGAAGATAAAAATGTGAATAGTTTACATTTACCACTACGACAGATAACCGAAAAGCTCACAAGAGACTACGGCTCAGGTGAGCTAAAAACAAATAGCAATTGGTCACAAGTGACTAAGGTCATCAAACCTTATAATGTCCATATCTAGAAGTTTTAAAACTGTGGGTTGTATAGTTAAATTTAATACAATTGAAGAATCTGTTTTAAACAAAAGGTCCATGGCCCTTTTAGGTCACCCGAGTATCATTTAACAATTTTCCAACAATTGAGTTTGGACCGAGTTTTAAAAAAGAGGCCATGAAATCAAAATTTATAATTTTGAAAGAGGCACCATTGCTTATCCTAACTATACATTTAGCATGCATACTTTGGTTACTAAATACTCAGAATAACAAAGAAAAAAGGCATTTCCACTTTATAACAAGTTGTGCACCCCACCCCACAGGAACCACTGAAATTGGACCAAATATTTCAAAAATCTTGAAATTTATCATAAATTTTATTTTTCATAAATCGTTGATTACCACGGAGCAGATTTCAAAGCATTAATTCATTTTCAGACTATGTACACCCCCCTCCACACACACACACACACACACACACACCAAGGGGCCTTGAAATTGACCATTTTGGAGGAGGCAGCTTTCTTCATCATAAATATGCACTTAGATCATTGGCGTAATACCAACGAACAGAGGAAAAGATTTTCAAAGAATCGATGCATTTTCACCTTATATTGTGATCATTAGAGCCCCGCCCTAACACATAAACCCCTGATCCAGGGCCCTGAAATTCACAGATTTGAAAGAAGCATCCTTCCTCATCATAAATTTGTATATACTCATTAGTTCATTGGTTTAATACCCAGGAGCAGTTGAGAAAGTTTTTATATAAATAAAATTTTCACTATATAATCAATAGAGCCCCTGATTCTAAGGCTATGAAATTCACAATTTTGGAAGAGGCAACCTTATTCAACATAAATATGTACTTGGTCAGTTTATTTAATAAAAACTTGGCACAGAGAAGAGAGTTTTTAAATAATAAATGTATTTTCACTATATAATCAATAGAGCTGTAATATCAATAGAAATAAAATCTATATAGCCCCGCCCTAGACCAAAGAACCCATGAAATGTGGCCAAGAAATTCACAATAATTTTGGAAGAGGCAGCCTTGTTCAACATTACTTTTTACTTTGTTTATTTAATGCTCAGGAATATAGAAGGCGATTTTGAAAGAAATAATGTACACGTATTTTCACTATACGCTCTATTTAGCTACGCCTGAGCTCTAGAACCCCTGACCCAGGGACCATAAATTTCACAATTTTGGTAAAGAATCAAATATTGATTACAATCAATCAAACAGTTTGACTGCTTAATGTCCAGGAGTACAGAAGAAGATTTTTAAAGATTGCATTAATTTTTAGAGGTTTTCCCCCATCCCTCAGGCCCCAGGGATGCAGGTACCATAAAATTCACAGTTTTTTGTTTGCCTTGACCCATTGATCCTTTATGCCAAAATTGGTTGAAATTGGTTAAGCAGTTGCAGAAAACAAGCTGAAAATGTTCAAATGTTAAGGCACAACGAACGACAAAAACGAAAACAGATAGCAATACGTAACCTGAGTAAACTCAATAAAAAATAAATAAGTATATACTAGTTACATGTATTACCAAGACTGAGATAAAAAACAATGATAATTGTTGCAAAAATAATATCTACAATCTACGACGGACGCAATTACATGGTCATGATGATAACTTCGGAGAGCATGACACCCAGCCCTCTTTATCCACGGTGAGTTCGTGCTGTTGATATGAGACAGAATGTAGTCATAGGATTCATCCAGCCTGGCATTCCCTAGAGTCTCCAGTAGGATCACTTTTTGATAATCATAATCCTCCATTTCTTTGAATGTCATTAAAGATCTTCTTTGCCTGTATTCCCAAGGGTCTGGAATTTGAAACAGCAAATTGGCAAGGCATTGGAAATGACCAAGAATGTATAAACATATATAGCTTTCAGAATACTCCTTCATATGCATTTTATTGCCCTTCAGAATGGCATTGCCGACCATAGAAGACAATGCACAAATGCACATGTGTTATCTAACATTTCTGCAGCAATATTGTATTTAGCATCAAAACTTATTACAGTAAAACAGTTATAATTTTTAAAATTCTAACCATGCAATCCCAGCTTTCCATGAAAAAAAATTATGATTTTTTGGGCTTCCTCTCTTCTTCCCACTTTGAATAATTTGTCACATACAGCTCCTAGAGCCAACATACATTGACCGAGTGTCTCATTGATGTAAAATTCTGTTGGGAATTTCTCTTGATGAAAAACTGCATCTTCTAATGTTTTCAGCATAAGCTGTATAAATGAAGATAATTAACAATTGCAAATTGTATTCTCTTTAAACATAATTTTAGCAATATCTTTTTACAATGAAGCACATTGAAGTGTTAATTTTAATTGAATGCAGTACTAGTATTTGGGTCTTGAGCATCAATTCTTACATAATACAACATGCCTAATAGCAACAAGAAAGAAAATTTTTTCACACTATTTTAAGACAGCCAACGCAATGCAACTGTTAATAAAATTTTTGCTGATATATAGTTTATTAAGGAGAGAGAGAGAGACCTCTGTATGTACAACTCATGTATTGCAAGTAATATGTAAATAATAATGAATCTATTATGTTTATTAAAGTTATCACAACTCATGTATTGACTGAACATGTGTTAACAGGGTGATAATGTAGGCTGCCAATGTGATTAGCAAGTGTATTAAGCTGTTTTACTGATCTTCTGTATACAAAGTTCCTATTCTATCATTTTATATACCTCAGATGGAGCTTTATCCTTGATTGCAACATGAGTCAAAACTCTACTGACAAGATCGTGATCAGGAGTGGGACTCAGTAGAACTTTCTCTGCCAGTAATCTCTCAGACAATTCTGTGTTCATTGTTCCAAAAGCATCAACCATATTCTCTGTAGCTTTTCTGTACTTAAAAATCCTAGGATTTGGGAATAAAACAATCAATACACAAATCAAAAGCACTGTTTTGCCGTGTGTTTCCTTATAAGATGAATTATAACAATGACATTAAGATACATATGCAGATATATCCTGACAAATGTCACCCTTAAGATATTCAGTCTTTCTTTACAGACCACAAAGTTTATTGGTTTCACCTGAGATGAGACTCAAATGAGCCTTTTTTTATCATAAAGTGTCACCTAGAAACTTTGCTGAGACTATGGAATGGCTATGTTATGTCAAAAGGTACTTCATAACAGAACGAGTTATTACAGTTAGTTTACTTTATATCATTCCTACATACATTTTAATTACAAATTGATCCTTTGAAAATTAAACTTACGATGGTGGCAAAACCGTAAAGTAGAATTCAGCTATTTTTACTACTTCTTCATCTGGCAACTCCAAAAGTTGATTCACAATGTTCCGAAAACAGAATCCACTGATTGGAGAACCTTTAAATATTTATTAAAAATATTATTTAATTATAAATATAGGAATAATGTTTGGGATTCGGTGGCATATATAGATGCTCATATTATACTATAAAAGATATTTTTTTTAATAATTTTTCAGTTTTGATATACATGTACAATGTAAATAGCATATTTCTTATTTAAAGTAAGAATGGTAAGAAGAATCTTCATACCTTGTTCAGGCTGATTTTCTATACAAGTCAGGTTTGTAATGATATGTTTTCTACATTCGGATATATTCAAATGTTTGTTTGTGCGTTTTACCTGAAAAACAATATTTATACAGGGTGATCCAAAATATCTGATACTACTTTGACTTTCAATAACTTTGTGAAAAGTTGTTCTACATATTTCATTTATACATCATTTTAAACTTCTACTGTTCATATATTTCCAGACCTCGACGAAAATTATTCATAATGTTTATACATTTACACATACTCAAGGATTGAATTGGTCTGACATGAATAAATTCCCTTCGAATATGGACTACCTTTGCTCTACACTTCAATAATTATATACTTTATCCTGCAACCAGCACTTACATAAACTGAATAAAGAAAAATCCAATAAACCAAAGCTATATACGCTCGAGTTCAATACACATATACAGCCAAATACATTAATGATTTTCAATTCCATGTACATTGCATCACTTATGTCATACGGTATCAAATTCTCATGCAAAAGTATATTTCCGACGTTACATTAAGTCAGTTCCTGTCCCCTCCTCAAGCTCCAGGTAGGAACACTCTATGAAAATCAAAATTTTCATGCTCCTTTCAGCCATTAATACTATTTAGCAGAATTGATGACACAGTTCCATATAGGAGGGTTGTTCGAAAAATTCGTGGACGCTGTCAATCTTCGCTATAATACTTTAAAAAAAATTAAAATAAGCACAATGCAATATTTTAAAAAATATTTGTTTTGTTGGTCTTTTAAGTTTTATTACATTCAACAGAAATAATTTTATTTCATTTTAAAATCAACATGTTTCCTACACGTGATGCACACTTATCAACGTAACGTCAACACCTATAGCGTCAAAAATTTCTCAAAAATACTATACCAACTTTGGATTGATTGATTGATTGTATACTATTTAACGTCCCTCTCGAGAATTTTTCACTCATATGGAGACGTTACCTAATCCTGGTGAAGGGCTTCAAATTTTGACTTTTACTCGGCACTCAGGCGCCATTGAGCAGTGAGGGATCTTTATCGTGCCAATGCCTGCCGCTGACACGGGGCCTCGGTTTTTAAGGTCTCATCCGAAGGACCTGCAACTTTCACTTCAAAGTGCCGAGCGCATTGCGAAGGAACAGTTGCTACCACTTTTAACGACTAGGTCAGTCGCCGCCGAGATACGAACTCACGACCTCCCGATCACGGAGCGAGCGCCCTACCAACTGAGCTACCGTGAACGGTACCAACTTTGGATATTATCACCTTACATAAAAAAAAAATGATGGGAGTCCACGAGTTTTTCGAACAATCCTCGTACAAAGCTAAATATGATCAAAAGTTTATGACTTATGTACATGTATAATGTATGAGGACAAAGTTCATGAGTAACTCAGATGACCTTAAAATGTTGGCAGAGCTATGGCCTGCCAAAAGGAAAAATTATACTGCTTAAACTTCACAAACTTCACAAACTTTACATTAGTTCACTTTAAAAGATAATTAAGATGAAAAAGAATTCTTGAGCATTAGGCTAAAAAAAACTTACGGTGCCAATACGTATTGAAGCCATTAATAATACATCACTAGGCTTAATCCATTCTTTCTTGTCAATGTGTCTTGTTAGGAAACTAAGCCTTCCTTGGCTAGTATATGACATTTCTGGGTACTCTGTGTTTTTATAGAAATTTTTGAGAATCATTGGTTGAATACTGTTAAACTCATATTTTGCATACTTTAGTTTTGTATATCCTCTATATGATGTGTAATTTCAATTACTTCAATATTATTTACAAAATGATACATATTTAAACGTGAATAATGTAAAACGATCTAAGGAAATTCACACCGAGTTCTAATGCATAATATAATTTACTATATTATACATGATTGTTTGAGCTGCTTACAATTTTAGATTCATATAGAATCTCTATCATTTCTTAATGCTTTCATAATTATAGAGAATTAAATTACCTTCTGTACTGAATTCATTTACAGACTTTACTTTTCTCATTCCATAAAAAGGATCAAAGCTAAAATTACAAAAGAATCAGCAGTTTAAAATGAAAAAAGGCATGTGGACAACAGTCATCAGTTAACTATTAAACATTTTCATACCAAGGGAATTATGACATTATAGCATCAACGTCTCTCATAAACATAAGTCACCGGCATTTCATAGAGCTCAAAGAACACAATCTTCATTTAAGGAAAAGTCCCAGAGTCAACCAATATTACAGTTCTGAGCATCCATAGACCAAACATTTATGCAGCAAGTTTAGTCCAGATAGTGCTTGCAGATTTGTCCTTAAACTGGTCACTAATCCAAAAATCGAAATGCACAGCAAGTCTGGTAGTTTGTATCCATTAATGCATCATTCGCACAAGGGTATGCCTTATATTAAGTTTGGAATGGATCATTCTGATTAAACAAGAGACCCAAGAACCACATCACTCACCTGATCGCTTTTTCCCTATGTATATTCCTATGTTATATTTTGATCCCCCATTGTTGTGCCACACTTACTCCCAGGGATCATGATCTGAATTAACTTGAATCTACACAATGCAATGGAAGTTTCATAGAAGAAAATTACTGGCCCAATGGCTCTTGAGAAGATTTTTGAAAGATCGACGACACCAAATTTTCACAAATTCTAAATTATGACCTCATGAAAGAGGATTTGGTCCTTCATTTGAATAAATTTGAATCCAATTCAGTAGAAATGTGATGTTTGGTAAGTTTGGCCATAATTAGCCCATGTGCTCTTGAGAAAAAGTGAAAAATGAGAAGTTTACAGACGAACAGACAGATTGATTGAAAATTTTTTAACGTCCTTCTTGAGAATTTTTCACTCATATGGAGACTTCACCACTTGCCGGTGGAGAGCTTCAGATTTTCTCCAATACTCGGCACTCAGGGCCATTGAGCAGGAATGGAATTTTTTCGTGCCAGCACCTACTGCGACACAGGACCTCGGTTTATACGGTCTTAACCAAAGGAACGGTCTCCATGTCCCATAGAGGGATTTGAACCAGAGACGTTAGGCTCAACTCCTTACTTCGCGACTCTAGAGCAGACGCTCTGACCACTGCACCATGGGCGCTTGAACAGACAGAAGACAGACACCAGATGAAAATGTTATTGGAAAATCTTAATGGTCAGGTCATTTAAAAACTCAAGGATACTTTGTGGCAAGTTTTGTTGATATTGGATTTGTATTTCTTGAGAAGAAATTGAAAATAAAAAGTTTACACAGGGACAGACTTGGGATCAAAAAAGTTCTTTTGAGAGTTTGGCTCAGATGTTTTAAAAATGGATTATGATCTGTCTCTTAAATGTTCAGTCTTCTCTTACTCTGGAGGTGTCTTGGGAGATGTAAAGTTTTCCTCAATAAGGACACTATGAATGGTTCCAAGGTATGCATGGTAAGTCATTGTCTGAAAAATAGCAAGTTAAATATGACCAAAATCAAAGCTCGTCGGATTTTACAGTCAATTCAAGGTGGTGGAGAAAGTTTTCATCCCACATAACCAGTTTATTTCATATACTCACCGTCAATAGAAACGCAACACCCTAATTTAAGGGGTGAAAATTATGTACGGGATAAACTTCTGTATAAAGGGAAATTTTCGCCCCCGTTCAATTTTCGCCCCTTTCGCCCTACCCTCATTTGGGCGAATTTAAAACGGGGCGATATCAAAGAATACAGTATAATTTCTTTTTAAAACTATTACTGGGCGAATTTAAAATGGGGCAAAATTGTTTGCATGTGTTAAAGGACGAAAATAAGACGGGGCGAAAATAACACTGTATACAGTATGTACCCAAAAAGTCAATAATTTTATTAAAAAATGCTAATTTTCGATTTCTGTTCAGGGGGCTAAAAATTAACTTCCGGTAATGAAATGAAAATCATTCAACCGTTAAATAACTGATTTGGCAAAGTAAAAGATGTCCTAACTTTTTTTGTACATAGTTATATCCCGTACATAATTTTCACCCTTAAGGGGGCCGACTATAGTTTTTTTGCGTGAAATCTACAATAGCGAAACTCTTCATTTTTATACCATATATAACTTACATTAACTTCAGTGTACATGCAAAGTTTGGGGGAGGTCTACCGTCCAGGTATTTTGGGGGACCGTCTCAAAATACAGGTACATTTACTATAGGATTATATAGGGAAATGCCAAATTTTATCACTTTAAAGCAAATTATACAAATACTACAATAGACATTTTGTTCAAATTATAATATTTGATGTGTAATACTATATTATACAATATATGTAAGAAACACAAAATTCTACCAGAGGGGACATCTCAAAATGCAAAAAATTTGCAAATTTTACTATTTTTATAGAGTATTACAAAATATGGCGTACACAATGGATTCACATAAAAACATAATAAAAATATTAGAGATATTCTCAAATTTCTATGTTTTAAATTTCAAGAGCGTATGTTTATTACTTTTTCTTTAATAATATTATTATTATCCCTTTCTTTAAGAGCTACAGATTATCATAACGTCAAAAACACACTGCAACGACGTCAACCTACCTATCAATTGCAAAATCGGTTAAAAATAAGTTATATCAAATTGTAATTACATTTCTATACCTATAATTTCTTAATTTTGTTTAATTTCAATAATTAAGCGAAAAAAGTTGCATTAAAACAGTAAATACGCTTCATTTTACTATGATGCGCGAAATATTGCGCAATGGAAACTATAGTCGGCCCCCTTAAATTATGGTGTTGCGTTTCTATTGACGATGAGTATATTCAGCAGACTTAAGTTTTTGTGCAATATCTTATTCAACCTGATATTCATAAAACTACCTACACGAGCAACTTGCACACTACTCTATTTTTTCATAGTTATATATTACATGTATACATGTAAATAAATAGTATATGCTAAATTTATATTTAGCCTATGCATTTCATTTTGTGATAGGTTGGTAAATGTCATTCGTCAGCACAATACATTTTTAACAAGACTTGGTTTTAAAATATTATATAAATTAAGTTAAATTGCTGCTAAGTGTCTTGAAACATTCTTTTTTTTACACTTTAAATTTAAAAATTTGAATACCAAAATCCATTGAGAAAAATATATCTAAAAAAAATAGAAATGCACTAGTGTTCAATTTTGTGTCACAGACAAGAACATATCTTTGTGAATCTTATTTTATTAAACAACTGATTTACCTTTTGATATGAGGCCTTGGCATTTTTCACAGGATGGTTAAGTCTTCTTTTTTTGAACTCTACTCCATTTTTAACTGGCATCACTGCATATGTTGCATTATGTTCTCCTATATAAAATATTGAAAAGCAAAATATTTACCCGTATTCCTTTTGTTGCCTTAATTGTCAAGCAGTGAAAAAAGAGAATAAGCAGAATAACTGAACAACTTAGATTTGGCTTGTCCTCAAAAACAGAATTTTAATTACCTGCGGTATACATCACTCGTGAAATCATGTTTGTTCACTTTATAAAGATGCAAATGATAATTTACAATCCATGCCTTAGAATTGCAAATAAATGTTTTACTAATGCAATATTTTTCAATTAAAGTTGTTGCTGTGCCTTAGCCACCATGTTGCCTGATTATTGGGACGTTAGAATTTTTTGACATCTACTAGTATATACATGTGTATATAGGGTTTGCAATGTGCGGATAAAATGACCAGAGTGTGCATCATTGTGGATCTAATATAAGGTTGGTTGGTTGTGTATTGGTTAAAGTCCTTCTAGAAAATATTTCACCCATTCGGAGACGCCAACACTTGTAAGTGGAGAGCTGCAAATTTTCTCCTATACTCGGTACCTAGGGCAATCGAGCAGGAAATGATCTTTTTCGTGCCAGCACCTACTGCTACACGGGACCTCAGTTTATACGGTCTCATCCGAAGGACCAGTCTAATTATAAGGGAGTAAAACCAATAAAAATACCTTTTAATCGGCCTGCTTGCTCTGAGAGTAAAAACCATTTTGAGCAGCAAATACTAGTTGTTGTTGGTATTAAAACTTAAATACATGTGTAAAATATAAAGATGAATTATTAATTTTTTTATGAAAAAAATAACTGACTTTTTTTTTTTTTTTTTTTTTTTTTTTAATTCTCAAAATCACTGTAATAAAAAGGTCTAATGGATTATCAGATTATTATATATTCAACCATACTTTAGTAATTCACTTATTTCATTTTTATTTAAAACAGACCTTCATTTCCATCCTCAGAAACATGGTAAATAAAAACACCATCCCTGTTTTCACCGGGCACCTACAGAAGAAAAAATGACTGATCATATCAAGATAAAAAGTTATCAAATGCTGGTCAACTTGCTTGGTTTCTTGCGTTCATATAAAACTTGTACATATATAGAGAGAACAAGTGAAAAAAAAAATCTTTTTAAATATAAATACTCAGATGAGAACTATCCATAGGACATAGCTGAATGCCTTAATTGTCTATGGCTCATAAATGATGAAACATGAACATTTGTAATACAAGTAGCTGAAGTTCCGCAAGAATATCTGCAACATTTTCTTTAAAAACTGATTATACACAATAAATAGATCATCGGGAAGGCTATGCCAAACCAGAAGTTTCTGTCGAAACTGTAGCTCTACTGGTGTATACTTAAAACAAGGGAAGAGAAAAGTAGCAGTTGGGACTTGAAACTTTAAAACAGCAATAAATAGAAAAATGATCCTTACCGCTCATCGAAATAAAAACCGATGCACAGAATTATGTATCTAAGTATAGTCTACTTGTTGCCAAGTTATATTGAAATCAGACCAAATCTGTAGGAGGAGTAGCATTTTGAAAGAATTTCACAGAAATTTCTATTCTTTAATAACCATGGTAACACAGTTCATCGAAATCAAAGACCGATGTATAGAATTATGTATCTTAGTGTAGTCTACTTGTATGTCAAGTTATATTGGAATCGGACCAAACCTGTAGGAGGAGTAGCATTTTGAGAGAATTTCACATAAATTTCTATTTTTAGTAACCCTGGCAATACCTTTCATCGAAATCAAAAACCGTTGCACAGGATTATGTATCTTAGTGTAGTCTACTTGTGTGCCAAGTTATATTGACGTCGGACCAGAACTGTAGGAAGAGTAGCATTTTGGAAGAATTTCAAAGAAATTTCTATTTCTAGTAACCATGGCAACACCGTTCATCGAAATCAAAAACCGATGCACAGATTTATGTATCTTTGTATAGTCTACTTGTGTGCCAAGTTATATTGAAATCGGACCAAAACTGTAGCAGGAGTAGCATTTTGAAAAATTGTTTACAGACAGACATACGGACAGACAGACAGACAGACAGACGGACGGACTACGGACGCATTACTATCGCATAAGCTCTTCTGGTCTCTGAACAGTAGAGCTAAAAATGACATACTTGATAAATTCTCACCCTAAATTGTGTTAGTGCAAAATCTTGCAAATTTAATATTGTTATACAGTCATTTCATTGGTAAATTTAGGTGAAATGTGGATTATATACAGGGGGGATGCGCTTATAGAATTCTTGAAAAGTAATCCTTATTAAATAGGAATTAACTTATTAGTACTGGTGATGTTTCTACACCGAGTTACAGGTGATAAGACCGGATTATAGAAAGCTGTTGTAGGTGTTTATTCACCAGAGCTGTTCTAAAGAAGAGTATTGGTGATAATTGTTGGTGGCGTCGATTCACCACAATTTATTTCCAGAGTTATACAAAAATTTCACCAGTAATTTTCTTTAATAATATTAGGGTAACAAATAGTTTAATGGTGTTTGAATTTATATATTATTCATTTCCTTGTTTTATCAACAATTCCAAATCATCTTTATATTTTAATAAACTTCATAGTGTCTTAGTATTCTGGATTTCTTTTGTGAATTCTTCAAACTGAGGAGGTTACGCTACATTACGCATTTGGCTCTTTAAATATCCGAACCCAAACTTTGTTGACGTTTCGAGCCGCGTCACAATATTGACAATAAATTGAAGTTAATAAAAATATTTATTATGGTTTGTCTAAAACTATGCAAAACACAAATTTTGATGGAAGGCAGGAAGGAGACGGATGAATGGAATGACCGAAGGACTGAAGATTGACATGAAAAACACCATATGCCCCTAATATGTTAATAGAGGAACATAACAAAAAGTCTATGCTGAGACTGTAGCTCTTCTTTTTTGCATATTTCTAGAGAAAAAAGTAAAATAAAAGTTGCACTTGATTTTGAAAGTTTGCAACAGCAAAATAAAGAATTATTTATCTTAATGTAAGTCTACTTGTGTGCCAGCTAGGTTGAAGTGAAATTTGAGGAGTAGCTATAGGCAAAAGTTGCATTTGAAAAAATTACCGAATTGTGTATTTTTTTTAAACCAAAGTAAGACCATTCATTGTATGTAGAAAAATATATCTTGGTGAAATCTACCTGTGTGCTAAGTTATACATATATTCAAATCAGAACGAAACATTTGGAGGAGGAGTTTTTTGAAAGTATTTCACAGAAATTTCTATAATTAGTAATCATGGCAACATATCTCATCAATACCCAACTTATGTATCTTATTATGTATCTTAAGTGAAGTCTACATCTATGCGTAACGTGTTGCATTAAAATTTGACTAAAAATAAAGGAGGAGTAGCATTTTGAAAGTATATCAAAGAAATTCCTATTTCAGTTACAACAGAAACAATGTTCATCAAGATCAAAATTGATGTGGAGATTTATGTACCTAACTGTACATATCGTCTACTTATGTGCCAAGTTATATTGAAATCAAATCAAAAATGTAGGAGGTGGAGCTTTAAAAAACTGTTTACCGAGAAACAAACAACTAGACAGATGGATGGACAATTTAATGTTATGACATATGCTCTACTGCTCTTCAGAAGAGTTAAAATGTTGTATAAAAATGATTGAAATTGACAATACATTGATAATGAATTTATCAATTATAACTCTAAATTAAGTTCTTTCCTTACCTCTCCTGCTTCATGGAGTTTGGATGCAAATACAGAAGCAAGGTTTTTCTTGATGGCCACCACTTCTTCCTCTTCTCCTTTTGGATGAAACACATGGTTCACTACTCCTCGTGTGGATATTACAAAGGAAAACCTATTTTATAAAAAAAAATCAAGTCTCCGTAGTGTTACTACTTTGTACATTTAGCAGTTATAAGTAAATTATATGGTTTCTGTCCTTAATGTGACCTTTTATCAATATTTTATCTTTTGCAATACCTTGATTTTATTTACGTATTCTTATGCTTATATGCAAACTCATTGCAGCTTGTTTTTGCTAATTTTGTATAAGTCCAATAAAACACTTTCATAGAGATGAATAATGTCATTTATTAAAATGACGGTATAAATGTGAACAACTTAACAAACAAGAAGGGGATCAGATTCAAAAGCTTTGATTAGCAGTTACGTAAAAATATGATAATGTCTGATTCCCCAAAACTGACTAGAAAAAGTATCTGTAAGACAAGACATTGAAAACTTCATGAAAAAGTTAGCGAAAAGATGGCACATCAAAACAAAATAGGCCACAAGATGTGACATGCAAGTCACATCCATGTTAGATATGACATGCAGATCACATTCGTGCTTTATTTTCTTAAATAGGGATTATTCCATGGTAACGGAATTTTAAGAAGATAATCCTCTATTGATAACATTATAATAGTATGTACACACCCAAGTTTGCTCAATATCGTCAACATACACGCAAGTTTCATCCATTTTTTCAATATCATAATTACATGTACGTACATGAGTAAATCATACATTTAGATCTCTACATGCGAAATTTTTTTCAACACGGTAGAACATATCATTTTGGGTAAAATTGTTCTTTATATCTTTTTTGTTTTACCAAATGCGCTTTGAAATAGAATAGCCAAAAGTAATGCTTTAATGGCATAAATGTATCTTTTGCAGCTTCCAGTTTAATTTAATCAAACCAGAGGCTAAAAATAATGAAGATTCTAAATCGATTGATAAAATAAGTATTAGATACACAAAAATGTGTGAATTACATTTTGTATGGTTTTCAAAATGTTTTCAAGAGATATGGAATAGTTTTATTTCGGACTAACACATAGCCAAGGTTCATAAACAATTACTGTACATGTAATACCTACCATTTGGAAAAGTCATAGTTGGAACTCTGTACATCTAAAATATAAATAATTAATAAATAAATTGAATGTGTTCACAAATTGGAATGTATTCATTGTTTGAAAAAATTCTGAATTCTAAATGAAATATCAGGTTAATAAATCTTACTTGGATGCTGCACTGGGGCAACATTTAAGGTGTGCACTTTTAATAGCAGTTCTTGTCCTTCATTCAAGGAAAGGATATTGGTATAACTGACCTGTAAAATAAATATCACACATAGGTTTGATTCTAACCGTTAAGTCTGTTCTAAATTCTAGAATATTGTATTTTCATTCTAATATTGTTTCTATATACCCCGGAAATCGTACTCAAAAATAGGGCTCCCACCCACCCGAGGGGAAATCTAACAAAAGAGAAGATGAAATTCTAATTTGACAAATTAAACCTCAAAGTGTGACATGAATGCAAAAATTGTCAAGTCAGCAATAGCCAATGGTTAAATGGTATTTTCAATTTCTATTTGTTTTCTCTGTAACAACTCTTTGAAAGTTATAGTTAAGTTGATTTCTTGATCATTCTACGGGAATGTAAATTTCGCCAAGGAGGCCATATGTAAATCTCGATCGTGCGTCTGTCTTTGCCTCTGACGCTAAGGAGGCCTAATATGCATGTAAATCTCATATTTTGTTTGACTCTCTTTCTGTTCGACGTCAATGGGCGGTGACTTTTGAAATTGACATGTGATGCTTTGGGTAAATCTATCAGTCTACATTTTAAAATCTGAATTTACAATTTTATTTCACAATTAAATAGAAATTTAAGGAATCACTGTCTAGTAAGTAGAGTATGCAAGGGACATCAACCATAGTTGGAAACGTGGGATAATTTATGCATAACGCGTATTTCCCGTTACATGTATGCAAATTATCTCATGTTTCTAGCTATGCCCCGGCATACTCTACTAACTAGACAGTGATTTCTATCAACTCTCCTTATAAACCCTTGGCATACAGTGCTGACAAAAGCAGGGATTGTTTTCGTCTCGTTATCAAATTTTTATCGGTGGCTCCATATTCTTACATATGAATACCTGTAAAAAAAAAATTGGGATTCATTGAATGAAATCAGGAGGAAAAAAAAATAATTGACTTAGTATAGCTTGATATCATTGACCTTAGTTATGTATAAGAACGTAGATTCGGATCATCATTTGTTAGTCATGGCAAAACAAGAACAGCAAACCCAGAAAGACGGAACATTGCGTATTGGTTTATCTCAAATAATCATCGCGTAATTTCACGAAAAGCACCACTCGCGAAATAAAATTACTCGCTTATATTTTTATGGCGTTGAAATGTATGTAAAATCTCTAAATCAAATGTCTTCTCCCGAATTATTGTTCTCGCGATTTGATTGATTGATTAATTGTATACTGTTTAACGTCCCTCTCCAGAATATTTCACTGATATGGAGACGTCATCATTGCCGGTGAAGGGCTGCAAATTTAGGCCTATGCTCGGCACTTATGGCCTTTGTGCAGGGAGGGATCTTGATCGTGCCACACCTGCTGTGACACGGGGCCTCGGTTTATGCGGTCTCATCCGAAGGACCGCCCCATTTAGTCGCCTTTTACGACAAGCAAGGGGGTACTGAGGACCTATTCTAACCCGGATCCCCATGGGACAGTTTCGCGATTTGACATCTAAGGGTCATTTCACAATATAAAGTATTCGCGTAAAATAATGAAACTATAATATTGACTAGAATGTTGAAAAACTTAAAGACACAAATCAAAATTCTACATCAAACTTAAAGAAAGATAGAATTTGAAGTCTAAATACTGCAGAAGACCTGGATAATATAAAGAATGTGATACAGGCGAAGTCATTTTCAAAAATACGTGTTCAAATTAAGACAAAAAAGATAAGATTGCAAACTTAAGACATAAATTGTTATCTAAACAAACTATCAGAAATTAATGAATTGGTAAATCGGTATCTCGAGGAACAAACACATCAAAGTACATGTTCTAATAAACATAGAAAGACAAGAAAAGCAAATGTTAAGACCGTTAAATAAACTATAAGAAGTAGAGAGAATCTCTTAATAGTGAAAAAAGGGATTAATTATCAAACTACATAAAATACTAATAAAGGGATTGACCTGTGGAAAACTGGATACACGTATGCCTTGACCCGTCCAAAATCATTTTATATTACCTCAACAAATTCGAAAAGTGTTTGGTTCCATTAATAGACAGCTTCCAGTTCAGATGGTTAACATGGTAAAGATATCGAATACAAATGTTTAAATAATTTATAAAACAAATATGAATGAATTGAATCATTTATTGTTAAAAAAAATCAAACTGACAATTAAAAAAACACTTGGGGTTAAAAGATATTAAAGCAACCCTTTCAAAAATTCACGATGAATACGATTTCCCTTTCCGTTTTCAGAATATATGATCAATAATTTGAAGAAAGAGATGTATAAATGCATGCTTCTTTTCTATGTTAGATATCAATATTTTTTTTCAGAGTGTAAGAGATGATATATTCACGCATTATATTTATTGAAAATAATATGAAGCTTTTAGAATAATAAGACGCTATTGGTTAAACTTTTGAAAACACAGATACTAGATTAGTGTGTGTAAATTTGAAATAGTAAGGTTATTTTCAGTGTATTTTGCTTCCGTCTTATAGAGGAAAAAAATGTTAACTAGACTTTACTTTAGTTCTTTTAAAGAGATTTTGTTTAAAAAAAAATAAAGGATGGCGTAATATCGAATATAATGTGTCACAGTCACCGCCTGAGGAGAGCCAATGAAGTGCATGCTGTGCATAAAAGAAATAATTTAAAGGAGTTGCCTGCATTCTTTACTTCTGATTGGCGACTGAGCGAACAAATCAGGTTGAATAAAAAACATCTATAATCTAAAAGGATGGCTAAATCCCAAAAAGGAATAAGGTCAATGACTAATTTTTTTTTGTATTCATTAATGTGAAAATATATTGACCACAGAGAAAAGTTTATGTATGTATATGCATGAAATACATCTAATTTTGGTAACTAAGAATTATACACGATGAGTTCTGATGTCCTTAAAAATGCTAAATAGAATTATGTACATTGAGTTCTAATGTTGAGTTCAAATGTCCCCAACAATATTAAGTAGAATTATAAACAATGAGTTGTATTGTTCTTACATGTAAAAATGTTAAAAAGAATTATATACGATGAGTTCTGATGTCCTGAATAATCCTAGATAAAACACAAACTTGGGTAATAAATATCTTATCTTTATCGGATAACCTTAACGCAAAACTTGGGTTCATTTTCCTTTTTTAAAATATATCTAAAAATATTTAATGTAGACCAACTTAGCATAAAAATATTAATATTTTTTTCAAAATACTCAAATGAAGTTTTATGAATACATGTAATTCCCATTTCAGCAAATACATAAAAGAACAATGTAAGAAAAAACAGACTGAATTTTGCAAATAACTATCTCTAACTATTATTTACATACTATTATTTGCTTACTATTTCTTCTATTGTTGAGACATTAATATATGCATACATTTTCCCCATATTCTTTAAATATTAATCAATGCTATTTAGGTATTGTGAATTAGATAAATAACACGATCCGTTTGCACTGGCCCCTGCTAAGAAAGCAGGTAACAACAATGTCTTAATTTGTAAGGCTATTTTTTTTTAAGGATATCCGATCCTCAGCCAGGAAGGATAACTCCAAAAATTCATATTTAATTTGAAATGCATAAAAATGAAGGCTGAAAATGAAATTTTTTCATGCAACAATTTTCATTATATTCATCTTTATAAGATTCAAGGTTTTTGGAAGTCTTAGAAAAGTTTTTATAAAAGTTGACATTTATACCCTATGAAACGAAAAAAAAAAATAGTTTTAGAGAAATAAGATTTTCTTGAATCCAGCCTTAGATACCAATGATTATTAGCATGAAATGAAATGAGAAATGATTTGTGGTGTTTTGCAATGATAGCAAAAGCCTTTTACAATATGTATTATAGAATACATGACGGAAATAGAAGACAAAAAATACCAAATAAGTATGAAAATCATGACAATTTCTCTGTATGCCTGGATACATATCGTTTTATAACTTAAAATATATTTTTTGGTCAATTTGCAATTAGAAAATGCATAGCTGATATTCCTATTCACTTTTTCTGCAAAAAATATTGGAGATTTGACGATTTTCCCTATACAATATGATTAACTTTAATCTTTAAATTAAAAGAAATACTGTAGATAAATTAACATAACTCTGTGGATTCAGAGATACTTTTATGAATATTTTTGATTACTTAACTGCTTATTTTATGAACCTGAGGATCGGACTACCTTAATTCGTATTTTAAACGAACTGGGATTCAATTTCTCTATTGGTACCCATACCAATGGTTCCAATTCTAAGGAGAAAATAAATTCTTCAAAATCATGTCAGTTTTTAATATTTTAAATATTTCCAACAAAGAAAATAAATTTGAATTATCGTATAACTTGAATTGAAAAAAGAGATACACGAAGAATGAATAACTTCGCAACCTTAGAAATACATCTCTAAAATTTTGTTTTCAATAGGGGCCAACTGATAGGATGATTTAAAGATGTCTATTTTTTCCATACATTTTTATGAATCATGATTGGTTATCTATTAATAATACAAAATTCAGTCAAGTCAGGGACGTGACTTTGAAGGTTTAAAATTAAAATAAGCTTTTCATAAAACGGATCTCTTTAAAGAACTGACATAGTTATGTTTATCTTATATCCAACTGCGTAGAAGTTCAATTATGTTAAAAATGTAACTGCGTAGAAGATATGCACTAACTCATCTATTGTACTGAGTAATAAGTATTGAGCTTATTTCAGTGAACACTTTGTGTTTAGACCATTGACACCTTGAACAGAAAACGCAGGTTCTCGACCTATTAAAAATAAAAGGGATTATCCTGATTTCCAATAGCATTGATAATATATATTGCTTTCGTTGCCTTTCAGTGCACTTAAGTGCTTATTAATTTTACACAAAGGGTCTTAACGTGATCATTTAACGTGAAAATATTCCAGAGTTTCGATGGTACAGTTCTTTTGTTATAATACAATGACTATTTAGGAAATATTTGAAGCATTTAAATCTTTCTCATACTGAGATGAATAAGAACGAATTAAAAATAGTTGACATTTATTTAGATTGCTGC